GGGGCAGAAGAGTGTTTCAAAGATGTTAGACAGACATAGAGGTAGAGAAAAGGGTACGGTGAGTAATGTGAAATGGAGGAATATGACATACAGTGGAGTGATGGTAGTTTGAAGTGAGAAGTCAACTGCCGCTTTATAGATTTTTTGCCGCATGAGTATACGTTGCCCAGGGTGCACCACGCGGAGGTAAGTCTATCGCACACCCCATTTGAGTCACCATAATGTCTTTTTTCCCCTCACTCTCTGAAGATGAGTGGTCTTTTGTTGTTTTACTTGTTCCAACTATTGCAAGGTTAGCTTATTTTAGCACTTGCTTACATTTCCAATCAGACTCAATTTTATTTACCCCCCCCCTCCCCTCCCTCCCTCCAACTTTTATTAAAGTTTTGAATATGGTTTTCTTTTCTCTTTGTATTTGTCACACCTCTTTATAGGGAGTATCTTGATTTTTTTAATGAAATACCCAGTGTCATTGCACACACACACTCATGCCTTCCCTGGGATACAAGGATTGACTCGATCGAAATGTTGGTGGTATTTCGAAATAATTGATATTGAGTGCTTGTTTCAGTCGTCTATTTCTATACATTCTATCTACTTTAATTCATTATATACGTACTCAACTGGCGGTAAAAAAGATAAGTGCTTTGTTGAAAGAGTGGAATGATTTAGTGCGAGATGAAGGGTGTAAGTGGTCATATGTAGGGAAATACGCAATGAGGTTAGGTAAATTTCATTTGACTTTCGTACACTACCTTCTTAATCGATAAATCATTCGTGTTGTAGTGCTCAGGAGACCACATATCCGCGTCGCCTAAAGCTTGTTAACATGTTGATGAATCTCATTGGTTGGTTAAACTTCCGCCTTCCTCTAATCATGATTTCGGTTTTTGGGACTCTGTTGTTTCGTTTTTATGGGAAGTTTTTCGTTTTCCCGTGGCATAGCGGCCAAAGTGGACATTTGAACCTCATCGGCGTTTATTTAACAGAAGGCATGATCAATTGGAGATATTAAAGATATTGCCTAGGTAGTTACTAGAATGCGAGTTTCTTCAGACATAGAGCTCTCATTGATTCTCTATAGATTGTATCTGGATTGACATTGATATATAAGAAGCTAGTATTGTGGCATTTTAGAAACTAGCATTTGCTTTAGAATATGATACGCTGTTTATTTCCCCCAATGAATGTATTCACATCTGGTTTTCCTATCGCCTTTCATAGAATGAAACCTTTAAGGCACAGTCCTCACGCAAAGGTAAAAGCGTTGCTTCAACCACCTTCTCCAATGCAAATGGCTACGAATCCTTCTTCCATCGTCTTCTTGGTCACACTTGCCAATTGCCCCTACTTCTGTCTGAAGCATTGCATCAGCTTCATTATCTTCAAAGTCGTTTCAAGTCAACCGCGTCGTCACCCCTTAATGAATCTGAACTAATCTTCTGGAGAGTTCTTCTACATGTGGTTCGCACACTAATTTCGAGAGTCCGTTCCGATGGCACTCTTGAAATTCCTGAAGAGGGGCTGTCTACTAACAATACTACTAGAACTACTCGATCCTTCGTGAAGGATGTGACGGAAGCTAAGCAGACGGATTCTAAGCCAATTGATCCAAACCGCTGTTCCACAGGAACTCAAAGTACCAACTCCTACGGTACTGGTTCTAAATTCAACATTGAGAAAAGGAAAAAAAAGACACGAGAAGTAAGTGTTTCAATTTTATTAATTTCTACTTGGAGTAAAATTTGTTTTTTTATAATTCAAAGTTAGTGATGTGGTTTTTTCATTTTTTATTTTTTTTTTCATTGATTTAAGCGCATTCAGTAGCTAGCAAAGACCTAATGGGCAAAATTGTGCGTGTAATCATGAGCTTGAAGTTTATAATTCATTACGACTATTGTTACAAAACCAGCTGAAACTATATCATGTCACCGGTTGATAGAGTGTTTACTAATGGTATGCGTAAAGATACCATTTGGTTTGGAGTTAGTTCATCATCAGAACTGATTAATTAGTGTCAACGCTCGACATGATATAAAAATTAATTTGTATTGGTGTAGTCGTCACGCATTTCTGAAATGTCAGAGGTTATTCGATCGATTCTTATGAGTTGACATATTTCGATATGTAGTTCGCTTAATTTTAGCTAATTGCGAAAGTGGTAGCGTGTACTACCTGATACTCATTTCAAACTCTCACTAACACGTTCTCTAATAGTGGGCTTGGGAAGGAAATTACCGGAATTTTTGATGATTCGTGAAACAACTTTTGAGAGCTGAGTGCAGTTAAGAATGTCGGATGGTTTGTATGGAGAATTGAGAATAGTGGCTGTGGACCATTCAGCTGAAATTTCAGTATAATCACAAAATAATCCCTCTATGTGGCAGCAGTATAATTTATCCAACCCTTTTGGTAGACAAATAGGGCTTGTGTGATTTGTGAGACCGCTTTGAGATCAATCTATAATTCCAATGCTGTTATTGTTTGGGGCTCCGTGTTTCATTTTGTGGCCAAGTTTATTAACCCTCAGATTCGCGTTTTATAATAGCAATTTAGGAGTGATAAATAAGTATATTGAGTTGCCTAAGGACAAGAATATGAAAATAAATTCGATTCATCAATAACATAGGCGTTTTCAGAAAATTATCAGTTGTAAGCATTGCAAGTAATTATGCCAGATTTTATTTTCTTTATGCAAATTATCCTAAAACTATTTTGATTCTATGTTTTTTTCCCCTATTTTACAAAGTAGTTTCATGAAATGAAATTTTCCGTTTAACCGACCTGTACGTATTTTTGCTTATCCCAATTACTTGTAAACATAAACACGGGCCTTTCTCCTCCGTAAATATCATTTTAGCAACTTTATTATATGCCAAATGTGTTATTATTCCTTGCTGGGAGTGATACAGTTGAAGGAAATGTGTTTGAGATATTGAATACATCTTTAAATGTCATAATGTTTTGAAGTTGGCCTTGATTTTAGAAATAATTCCACATTTCGAGTCTCCTTGATTTCGATTGGCGCTAATTTTAATGCACAAGTTTTGTTCCCACTAAGAGAGATCAGTTTAGGAAGTTTATAATGCAGTCTTTCTCGACTGTACGAGCTCGACGTTAGTTTTCCCATATAATACTTTATTGCTTCTATCATTCATTTTTGTTTTTTTCTAAGTCCATGGTGATCCCTCTTATTCTAACCATTTTTGTGTGTTAACAAATTTCTAGGAGACAAGTATGACAAAATTATAAATAGCCATAGCCGATTTACTCGAAACAAAGACCGCATGGTTCCACCAGCAAAGATCTATTTTACGTCTATCATTCCCACAAGACCTTTATAGGTCGCCGTTATTAACAAAAGTAGGCAACGCTGGCATGCATTTCACTTTGGGTTTAGAATAACATGGACACAGAAGGTTGACAAGTGTTGAAGTCGAACAAGGTGGTTAGGTAGCCATTGACTATATCACACCTGCATACCTCTCTTTGAAGGGAGTGGACTGTAGCAATAAAGACATGGTGACTGCTTTACTCCACTTTCTGCGCCCCTTAATATGAGGGGAGTTTAGCAGTCAAATGAAGATTGCCTTTTATCTAACCTTTTTTGTGTATCATGTAACGTATTAGAGGTGCCTAAAAGAAATCAAAAGTTAGATGTTTGAGTTGCGTTTTTGTGCAGACATGTTGAAGGGAGAGAATTTAAAAGTACTCATCTTAGTGGTTAAGTTGGCCAACAATATTCATGAGCAATCGATCTCAATTTATCTTTCACGGGCAAAATCTCCAATCCAATAGCAACGAATACGTCAAACATTGCATCCTACGTCTCTTTCATCTTCAGTCCGTCGACGTCAAACTTACTATGAATGCACTAACTCTTGAGACACACTGATGAATAGAGTGAGAGAGGATTTACGGTGCCTTCACATCAACCTTCCTAGTAGAACAAAGATGAGAAGAGAAAGAGGTGCCTTTCTTTGTTCTCTTCATAGCCCAATCGAGAAGTGGGTGGATATAGACAGCGTCAGTGAGTAAAAGCACTGGCTGTCTACAAAGTAAACATCCATTCCTTCCCCAAAATCAGGGTTGACCACTCGGAAACTTCTCCCTTACATTTAATGGGATGTGGGAGGAATAATCCATTGTGAATTTCTTTACCTGGGGACGAAGCACTTCCACCCAAACTCTACTAATATCAAAATTTTGGAAGACTAAACCAGAAATTAAAATTTATTACGTCGGACATCTTATCTGCAACTCAGCGTGGAGATCGATCTGATTCTTAGATGATATTGAACAATTTTTCGCAGAATTATCCAGGAGTCTTTCCAAATAAGAAATATGCACACTGAGATCTTTTTGTCCCCTAAATTATAAGCTATTATTAATTATTAGCATTATTATTACTAATGTCAGCCTAGCCCGTTTTTTAGTTCACTAATTTCCCTTATAATTCAATTATTTTTTTTCAGACCTGCTCCCTATTCTACTTTATCAACCCTTTCATGCAAGCCGCGTTGGATTTGATGCAATCCTGTTTTCGGCATCTCCAAATTGAGGTTGGTTCCTCCACATCCGACAACAGCCAAGACAAATTGGTTGAGCGTCTCTGTCCAGAGCGTTTGGCGGCCCTTGCTGAGGAACCCGAGAAGTATAACTCCCTTTTACTGGCCAGTCCCACCATCGGTCGCCTTGTGGAGTCTTTGCGTTTCGCTTCGCAATCTTCTGGTGACGGAGAGCGTCTGCATGCCTTCAAGGGACTCGTTGGTCTTGCTGGCTCTCTATCTTGGCCGGTATTTTTTTTACCCCTTCTGATATTTAAAGTTAGTTAGTTAGTTGCTTTCCGATCGTCAAGTGATGTGTATGACAAATCATGCCGGTCGGTTCTGGCCAATAGGAGGGTGTTGTGAGCTATTATCTCTTCTTCATAAGAGCCATTCCAAGATGCTTCCTCTCGACCCAAGTCGAATGTGTTTTTTTTATCACTTCTCTTAGTGAGTTATGAAAGTTAATTGATAATTGCTAACTGAGTTTATGTAATTGATGCTTTTATTATTGCGCACCCACTGAGGCGATTGGCTAATTGTGCTGGCCGAATCTTGCTAATATTAACTGTGAATTGGCAGAATTCAAGTTTCTCGCTGGCAACGCTCCAGTGTGCTGCTTCTCCACTCAAGATGAATGGTATATAGCTTCCAAATCAATGAACTTGTTTTCTTTTGTGGTTGCAAGGAAATTATCAATGTTTAAGTCACGGCTACGAAATTCCTAAGCGTAATCAGCTGAAAGCAATTACCGAGCACGCAGTTTTAAATTGCCAATATCAGGGAAAAGAGATGGTATTTTCTTCCAGTTTCTATTCAGAAATCTGTTGAAACTCTATGGAAGGAGATTTTAAATGGTGATTGATAATTTTCTTTTTCATTCATATTTTAGATTTCTAAGTCGGATACACTCTCTTCAGTTTTCCGCAATCATCTTACCACCACTCCAGTTGAAAGTGTTTCTGCTTCTCGTTCACTTCTTCTCGGTTGCTTATTGAAAGAGACTGTCGAATTCGCAGACTCCCTCATTGATTACATTCGCTCCAATATCTCAAATTATTGCTCACTAATAGATGGAAGTTCTTTGGAGGAACGCCAGTCAGTCCTATCTTTCCTCACTTCTCTCCAACTCAATCCTCTTGTCTCCACACTGAATATTGATCTCACTAGTATGATGCGTTTCTATGCCACTTTACTTAGAAAAACACGCCATACTAGTCTTCTTACTCGCTTTATGGACAAATCAGTTATCAACGCCCTTGTGCAATCAGAGGTGATAAGTGACGATGACCTTAGACGGGCAGTCTTTTCCTACTTAGAAGTCGCTACTGGTCTCCCTGAGGTTCTCACTCGATTCGTAAAAGAAGACAAAGATGTCGACCCCTTACCGCTTTTTGATTCCCCGAATTGTTCTCCTGAGTATCTGCGTCTAATGTGCATCATTCTTCTCAGAGCTATCAATCCCCAATCACATCCTGAGCTGTATCTAGAAGCAGCTCGCAAGATTCTATCAAGGGCTGTGGGATGTGGTCTGATTGCTAAAGTTTGTATTTCTGTTTTGACCTCTTCGACTCATCGGTATGCCCGTTTATTTGAGAGACTTATGCGTCTTATTGCAACTCCCTGGCCAAATGCAGATGATGTTAAAGTAAAGTGTTTAACTGTTCTTTTGGATGTGGCTGAAAACTACGACTGCCCAATCAAGGGCTACTACATAATCTCCGGATTTAGATGTCTTCTTCTTGCTTCATGGAACACAAATGCTTCCACTCATGTTAGATTTGTGGCAATTCTAACGAAGTGGGTGAACCGAGCGAGTGAAATGCTCTCCAAAGATACTTGTGCTAGTTCTATAAAGGTGCCCAAATCAAATATCATTAAGATTTTCATATGCAAATATGTCTGTGTCAGTTAACAAATTTTCGATTTTTGTTATAGGATAACTTACTTCAGACACTCTGTGCTGCTTATGACTACTTTAATCTCATACTCCAAGTTCTTAGTTCCAAAGAAGCAGTTTCATCGGAACCAAAACTCGATGTACCTGATAGTCAATACAGCCAGAATAGAAATCTCAACTCGGTTTATCAGCTGAAACATCCAGAATTCAGAAAATTCCTGAACTTTTTCACCAGCTTGGACAATGAGAATCGTCCAGGACACTGTTGGAATGCCTCTCTTGATGGCTGTCTTCTTAAGGCACTTTGTGGACCAGCATCTAGGTCAACGGAGAATGGAGGTATTCTAACCACCCTCCCCTTCCATTCGATTGTCACCTCACCGTTAGAATGGGCTTGTGAGAAAGTTTGTACCTTTCCTAATACTCAGCATCAGTACATTCGTCAACCATGGTACGGTTGTGCCACCTGCGGAATTGTTTCCAATCATGGAGCTTGTCATTTGTGTGCGCAAGTTTGTCATCCAGGACATGACTTGGTGTACGAGAACACCAGTGAGTTCTTCTGTGATTGTGCTGCCGAAATGGGTGACAGTGGAAAGTGTCTGGCGGTGAAAAGGAGAGTTGTGACGGATCGTAAAAGTGTTTTTGGAAGTCTTATGCCTTGGCTTAACTGTGAGTTCATAGTATTCATTCTTCCAGTTGCATGGTCACTTCGAGAGGCTTGAAGTGTTAATTTCTTATGAATTTGATATTATATGTATCTTGTTTCAAATTTACGGCAAATGATATGTCCTCGAAATCCCTGTCTGTTGAAAATATTTTTACCCAATCCTAATTGCACAGTTCCTTTTAATCACTCTTTCGCCTTCTACCTTTGAGTGGTTTTGGACTAGCCATTTTCGACCACGGGATATTGTTTTGGTGTTAAAGCCATCTGGGATTTATGGTAAGTTTGTTTAGGCTGAGAACATCCGAATTTCGTATCAATAGGATGAGTAACTCCATTGATTATTGTCCGTCTTGTTTTATTTGAACGGCCTTCCAGAAGTTCACAAGTTGAGCTTTCTGATATTTCTCCATCCCAATTTTTCCCAGGGCTGTCCTTTTCCTCCCCTATTGTTTGGTGCTTTCGTTCTACATTCCTAAAACTGGATTCTGCAACTACTTATTGGCCAGTTTAAATGAGTGGTTTTGTCATATGAGACTTTTACATATTTTGCCTTGTTCCCAGCTATGCGTAGAAATATGTGAAAAAAAAGGGTATTGCTATCATGGGACAATTAGTTATGTTTGATTGTGTGAAGCAACGGTGAATCGTGTTCAAATTATAGCATCTCAGCGTGTCATGAACGCCACGCTGGTGGTTATTTGACGCCAAAAGAAATTTATATATGGAAAGTATCCTGGCATGTCTATTGTTTTCTCCTTTCAGGGTCGAGTTTTCAACGTTCAATTGGAGATTCCACTTGTGAACTGATCGCAAAGGCAGCTACACGTCGATCTTCAATTACTTATCCCTTCGAGAATACCGTTGTACCATCATCTCCATCACCCCCCTCCAACACGCTATCTTCCGGCACACATTTCCCAGTTCGCACTTCAGTTGTAGTCTCGTCTGCTAGCACAGATACACCTGCACTCCCTCCTAGACCCGGAAGTAGTGCCAATGATAATAATACCGTTTCTGCTCAGGAAACGAATGCTGCATCTGAGTCATTATCACCTCGCCTTAGAAGAACAGGCGGTATTCGTGGGAGACGCAATGCCCCTATCGCTTCAACTAATACTTCTGGTTCCGATACAAACATAAGAACTGTAGGTGAATCAGAAAGTGCTTTCCAACTTACACCCTCTCTCGAAGTTACTTTTCCTGAAATTTTCAATGGAAACAACGATGGAAGCCCATGGAAGCGATTTAGTTTATGGAGAAGTGGTACAGAAGATGAAAGAAAACGAGTCTTGGAGACATTTCGGCAGAAATTTGGTGGAGATAAGCTTCAACCTCGCCTCCAAGATGTGGTTATACGATTGAGAAATCAGTTCAATAAATTGAGTGATGAGGAGAGGAGAGATATTCTTGCTGTTGTTAGATCTCCAGACCTCTTGAAAACCGCCTCTTTTCTACTGAAATGGGAACTCACCAACAAGTCTTCGTCTCTTGCGTTGAAAGAGGGAAATGACTCGTTTGCTGAAGTGTTCAGACAGGTTGCAGCAGCTGAAAGTCTTCACTCCTTGGCGATCGAGTATATTACTTCTGAGGCTGGAGCAAAATCACACAATATTGTATTCTCTTCGTCTATTGTGGTGAGTTTTATTTTTTTACATTTCTTAAACTTTTGAGCATCTCTCTTTAAACCAGTTCTTCTCGTGTTGTTTTGATATTCGGAAACGAAAATGTAAACATTGGGGGGGGTAGACAAGAAATAATAATTATATACTTACCGGTATTTTATCATCCCCGTGAAGAAGAATCAGACCTTGATTTAATCTCTACTATAGCAATTGTGCCTCCTCTTTTCACTAACACTTTGATATTCAATCGGGTAGTCCTTAATCTCCTATCGTTTGCCCCTTCTGTAAACAATTATGCAAAGGGCTATAGGTTCCAAACATGTTTTTCCATCAAATTTGTCCTCCACGTAATTAACAGCGACTGACGTAAGCTAACCAAGACACTCCACTCCACATCTAGCTTGCCATTTCTTTATGGATGTGAGGGTTGTAGTTTCTACGAGAAAACAAGTAGAGTGCATATATATTTGAAGGGAGATAGAAAGTCATGGACTGGTTTCCAATACATTTTCCCAACACTTGGTAAAATTGTTCTGTAAAGTTTTTTAATTTTTACAAAGGACTGTGCTTGACTTCCTTAGCAAAAAGGAAAATTAGTAAAAATAAGAGCGAATCTAAGTCTATCTATTAACTTCAGACACCGGTATTATGCTTCGAAGCTGGTCCATCATTCAAATCTGATGAGCCGAGCACTCCAGGAACCAATGAAGCAGTCATTCCACCACCAACTCTGAAGTCCAATCTTACTCCAGCTCCTTCACCCGATCCCATTCCGACCGAAACAATTGTAGGACTTAATCGCAACGCACCTAATTCTTCTGCTGAAATGGCTACCAGACTCCCCTCTTGGGTCGCCGATATCCTCGCTAACCCTAGTGATCTTCAACAATTCGGTCTTGTTGTTGCCACACAAGGTGCTATTGCTCGATTGAAGCAAAGCCTCAATAGTGCCATCAGTCTCACAGCCTTTCTCACGCAAATACCCTCTGTAAACGGAGAATTTAAGCACTTCCTTGTAGCCACGATTCCTCAAAACAGTCGCCAGGGTCATACCTCCTATATTACAAAATCAAGTGTCAGCGTCTTCCAGATTGATGATTTACTCTCTACAGCTGCCATGTGTCTTGGTAATCAGGAGTCAGGTCGCTTACTCTCTTCCTCGCCCTCTTCGCTCTCTTCCTCGCCTTATTTTGTGGTGGATATCAACTCTCTTCCGAGGGTGTGTAAAATCAACTGTAACTGTGAAGTCTCTCGCCTCACACCACATCCTACTAACGGGTCGCTATGTATTGCCAGCAATATGCAGAATTGTGTGATATTCGGTCTTTCGCCATTGGGCGAGGCTTGCGGACGTTTGAGTATCACCCCGTCATTTTCTGGTGGCAAGGAGGAGGTTCTTATTAAGCCAATTTGGCTTCCTAATTCTACGAGGCATCTAGCTCTCTTGACTTCAAAATCTGTCCAGGTAAGTCGCCCATAATATAAGTACTCTCTACACACTTGGCATGCGGTTCAATTGATAATTTTTTCGCTATTTTTTCAGATTTTTGATATCTTTTCCGAGTCTCCAAAACTTCTGTACAATTTCAAGCCTGTGGTAGGCAATTTCCTAGATGCTACATTCATCTATGCCCCAAGAACTGAGGATGATGATGATAAGACTGGAGAAGAATATGTTTTCTCTGATGTTGTCCTGATTGTTATGGCCACTTTTGGATCGATATTGAGACAGGTAAGCTTCTTTATCGTCTAAGTACTTTCAAAGTTAGTGTCTTTGCTAATACGTCTTGTGCTTCCAAATAAGAACCACTCCATACGAACCCGAAGTAGGGGTTGCATTTTTACTATTCGTATCTTGAGAAAGTGATTGAAATCCAGTAGCAGTTCAGTATTCCGTAAGATAAGCATACTCTGTTGACATTTATTTCAAATAGCAGGCGTTTTAATAGTTATCGTTAGCCATTTATCTGACTTTAGATTTCACAGAGGGAAGGTTCATCAAAGTAACAGAAAGTCGAGGGGTGGGGAACAGAAGAGTGATTCACAGTAGAAGAAAGTCGAGGGGTGGAGAACAGAAGAGCGATTCACAGATTAAAAGAGGCAGATAGACACAAAGGTAGAGGAAAAGGTAAGGAAAGAGACAGGCAGACACAAAGGCAGAGAAAAAGTAAGATGAGTACTCTGGAAGTGGTCGACTATGACATACAGTGGGATCATGGTAGTTTGAAGTCAAAAGTCAACCGCCAGTTAATAGACTTTTTTGCCGTATGAGTACACGTTGCCCAGAGTGTACCACGTGGAGGTAAGTCTATCGCACACACCGACTCTGTTGATATAAAGAAAGCTTATGAAGAAGAAATCGACCTTACTGTTAATGTCTTCCCTGTAACTCTTGCAAAGTCGAAGCTGCTCTGTCAGTTTAAAATAATCAGGAAGTATAGGGGTCTCTTAGCAGGATGCTCTGATGGAAAATTGCAACTGAAATCTGAGTTTCACAGTTTCCTTCAATCGATTCACTAGAAGTCGAAAGTCGTGCTTTTTTTTTGCCCAACTCGCATTTTTGGGTGCTTACTTTACCCCTCTGGTTCGACCTCCTTTTTCTTTTAATTACCAAGAAAACGAACCTGTTCATGCTATAAGCACTATAATTCTCATTTGCAGCGTCTTTTGCCATCGACAGAAATCAGCCAGGGTGAATTCTTTCTCGCTGAGAGCTTTGAATGGGAGAGTGGTGGCTTAAGAAACCTCGATGGCACGGATACATCCTGTGCTGCCTATATTGAGTCATTACGCGATCCATCCACTGGCGTAGTGGCTAACGGTGGTGTGAGCGTCTTCTACTCGGCCAGTCTTCACCTCCTCTTCCATTCCTACTTGTCGGGACACACTTTTGTAACTGCTTTGAACATTTCCCCTTGTGAGGATAGCAGTGGAGTCGGTATTAAAGCAAATCATTCCTTCCTACTTGCGGTTCCCAAATCCCAATCAAATAATGCGTGAGTCATTCTATTTCTTATGACGCGTTTCGTCTCAACCGCAGATGAGTAGATAATGGATAAATTATTTCAGCTGAAAAGTTTGTCACATCTACAATTCTACTTTTGGAGACCTTACTTTCATCTTTGAATGTGAAAGGAAAGTTGTTATATTAAGGTGATTGTTAGTTAAGAAGATTCGCGTTCATTCGGAGAGTTTAATAAGACCATACAACCTTTACCCAACTTTAATTTGTTGCTCGGATAGTACCTAGGTCACTAAATGTGGTGGTAAATAGCTTTAAAAGGAAGGACAAAGTCAAGTAAGTGGAAGATAGAGGAGTTGTAGTTGATCGAGTTTGCTAGCAGGGATTACAAATACAGGTGGATGGCTGAAATGGCTGATTGAACGATTTTGCCGGTAGGAGTTTGTTGCAAGAGAATCGTGGTGGTTTACTTGTGGGGTTGCAGTTGGAACGTCGTAAATGTCAACCCTAATTATCAGAAGCCAGCTTGCAAGAATATAAGCCTATGTGAGTGTTTAAAGTGAGAACCAAGGAGGAAAGACTACAGCTTACCTTGAGTGCAATCTCACCTCTGACAATCCTGTTTGAAATAGTTCAGATCTAGCCTTCCTCTGGTTAAGAGTTCTCGCTCTTCTACTTCTCTGCATGCAGTTGTGTATGCTCCTATTTGGCTGGCTAGACTGCATTCCTAATTCCCACACATGCTTTTTTGTTCGCACCCTTGAATCTCTTTTCACGATGACCTTTCACCTTATTTTTAGGCCTGAGGCAGTAAAAGATCAACTTAAAGACATCTCGTGGAATGGACCTCTTCGAGATTTTTCTGACGTTCCTGGTCAACTTGGCATGTTCTCAGCGACGACAAGTGATCCACTTAGCCAGAACATTCTGATCGCCATAGATCCCGACACTGTATGGATTCAAACTCTTCCTACCGAAACGCAATCAATGCTGGCGAGGTCCACGCAGAGAGTGGAGGATTCTAGCGCACCAAATCCTGCTTCAACTGCTGCTGATGCGAATTCTATAAAGAATGAAGGTATATTTAGGTTATGTTCCTTACTGCTATTCCCTTCGAGATATCTTACAACATCAAGTAGAGAGGAGAGGTGTGCTGAATGGGGTCAAGCTCCCCAGGACTCTTGAATCTTTCTTTGTTTACTTCACTGTTTCAAGTTCCAGTGTTGTGGTATCATAATTTCAACATTGCATTTTGTTCACAATGTCCATTTTTTTATTATGATATCGATAGCTAGCTGAATACTTAAAGTTACTTTTCCTTCCATCGCCCGAGCACCTGATACGAGTTATGATTTTAACACAGACACGGGCTCGTTAACTGCAGTAAACCATTGGGTGGGTTAGGTAGAGTGGCCTAATATTTATCCATCTTTCCACGCATAGTGAGTAAGGGGTCAAGTAGGAATTGAGTTGAATGTATATTACCTATCTGACGTCCATTGTGTGCCAATTAGGGGAGAAAAGCAAAAAATGCTTAATTTCCACTTCTTCACACCTCGGAAGAAATAATCCTATGACTCGTATGGTGGAGGAGTCCTGCTCTTAAATACAGTTTCGTGCTCTCTTTAAAATAATAGAATCTTGATTGTTCCCGATTGGTTGCAATGCCTTTCTGGATTATATATATTGCCTCAGAACAACTTCATTTTTTTATTTCAGCGACCGTTTCGAATCCGTCTACTACATGCGCATATGTGACTTCTCGTTGGAGTGGAAATGCGGAGTTTGGATCTCGTCTTTTCACTTTACAACTGGCAAGATCTGGTGCCATTCAAGTCTTTGCTGGATTTTCTGAGTAAAAATCACCCATTTAAATTTTCTTATTTCACTTGTACTTTTAAATAACGAGGCCTACGTTCTGTTCAGATCACATACAACCGATTCAAGCACAGAACCGTCCGAATCTAGTTTTGCCAAAAAGCATAATCTTTCAGTAGCATTTCCAGGTCAATTCTGGCTTCAATCAGCCCTCCATCGCCCTATCTCTTCATTTAAGCCTCGAGCACCGTCGAAACCCTCTCTTGTTGGGTCCAAATTTGAAGATCTGCTACTCTATGATTCCTGTCGTAGAAAGAAATCGAATCCGACTCCTGTTAATTCCGAATCAATTCGAGAATTTGCCTTCTATGCTCTGAAAGCCCTTCCAGCTCTACGACTTTTGGTGGAGAGAAATACGGTTTTTCTAACATCCAGTGGTATTGTTTGCAACAAGACACCATTCTGTGATTTTCATGAATGGGCCTCTCCTAGTAAAAATGTATGTTGGTTGCATTTGTCTTCTTATCTCACTCTCTCTCTCTCTCTAGGCCAATTTCTATAGTCGTGACCTGCTTCATATCCACACTCATCGATGGCTCAATCAGCGTCTGAAAGAAGTGGGTAATCCATTAGTGTATTGTGGTTCTGCTAGTCTTTTCTTCCCACCCTCAAATAAATCCAGCGTCGTTGCTTTCACGATCGATATTGAAGTACCCGGGGGAGAGGTTATTGTTGGTCTGAGAGTAGAGATGGCTGAGAGTAATTATCCAAAATTCTTTTCTGTGAGTTACTCCTGCTCTATTTTCTTTTCATCATTCCGAATTCAAATGACTTTTGATTTCGTTTTCAGATTTTCGACCGAAGATACAACGTTCCAGTTGAAAGTAAGAGCTCAACAAATTCTGCCAGTGATAATAGTGGTCAATCTCCATCAAAGCAATCCTCTGTGTTTGTTGATATACCTCTGACACTATCAGAAATTCTTCAACTCAATACTCATTCTAAAGTACTTAAAAAGGATCTGCAGCCAATTCGTCTCTCTGTGGGACAAAGCAAGCACCCCGACGGTTTAACCGCTATTGATCGAATTATTGTCTACACGGTACCGCGATCCAGTATCGATCCTGCTCTTCTTGTTAACCATGGAGATCTTGAGAATGATAATGAATCTGGTGGTACTGGCAAATGGCCGTATTGCATCAAGGCTACGGAACTTCGAAGTAAGCCAACCCATCGTCTAGTTATCTATTTATATAAATTTCAGTGGTTTACTGTCTTCTTTTGAATTTTAAGTCGTTAAACACAACTACTCCTTGGTCAAGTGGCTTGACCGTTTGATGAACACAGGTTTTGTAACATGTGCCGTGACAAAGCCTTTTGAGAGTATTGGGAAAGTCTTCAAGAATGAATTCATCTCTCCAATTTACGACAATTTTGTGGAAGATGGCTCGGATGCTGAAATTGTGGCTTCTCTCACGGATTTCTTCCAATTGATTGCAACTTTTGAACAGGCACGTTTTTGTACTAAAATAATTGAACTTTCAAGGAATTACTGCTGAACTTGAGTGAACGCGGCTGTGCTAGTAATGATAATCGAACTGAATAACACATGAATAGGAAATCCTTTACCCCATTCTTGAGACCACATTTAAATGTTTTAGAGAATTTAATTACCTCTTTGCTTAATAAGATCGGTTATAACACTTCAGATAGGCAAACTATTGCACTTGAAAATATGAAAAAGTCAATCATACACCAAGGGCACCTTGAGCCTAGATTTCACAGAAGACATGGCACTAAATGCAAGCTTAACACTGCATAAATCGTTAGTTCAGCGAAATTAGCACTTAATAGTAGCATATTTTTTCATCACCAGTTTCCTTTTATTTTTTGCATATAATTTTTTTGCTCAACCTTATTTTACTTTTTTGATATTTTTAAAAAAACCATTCCCTCTCTATTAATTGATCACTAATTCTGTCAACTTCAATTGCTTTAGAACGCTGCTCAACGTGAAATTGCGGAGTTGAAACCGATTCTCAGTTCAGTGATCAGAGAAGTTCTTCCATCAGCTTTTTCTCATCCCAAAAATGACGTCAAAAGATTTTTCAACAATATCGTTCATCTGCATACTACTACCGTAGAAGACATTGCCACCGATGTAATCTCACCAAGTGCGATTCTAGCTTCTCATGTCTATAATTTTGTCAACGTTTTTTCTGTTATCTCAATCAAAGAATGCTCGATAGTCGCCTATGGTGAATGTCTCGATTACTTATCAAAAGTTTGGCAACTTGCTCATGAGTATAACCAGGGAAATTCTCTCAGTTTACATCCCGACCTCACAATACTCCTCTTTACCATTTTGAACAAGAATCTTCTAGCCCTCCATCCACCCCAAAAATCACTCTCCTCTGAACTAAACGTTTCTTGGGTGAAATTGCTTACGCCTCTCGTCAAAATTGCCATTTTTGCATTGGCGGAGTCTCTAGATCGTGATGAAATGGTGGCTGTTGCTGTGGGAGAGCTCATTGGCAACCTGCTTGTCAAAAGTCACACGCAAATTGCTTGCCATACTCGAGATATTCTTTCCGCTTCTCTCACTACTCTCTTCTCTAGCAGTCGTCTAATGACCGAGATTCTTTGTGAGTCGAATGAGAATAACTCTGAAGACAGAGAAGAAGAAACGCCTGTTGAGGTGATCGATAGTAAGAAAGCTAGTTGTTCAATCAAACTAATGAAACTGGCTAGTGGTGGTAGTGGTAGTGGAAACTCGCGGCTGAAGAGAATACGTCGTCCCAGATTCATGTCCAGGAGGAGTAATAGACAGGCCCCTACCGTAAATGAAGAGATTGACCAAATTGGAAGAAATCTCTCTGAGATGCTACAGTTCATAGCCAACACGACGAACATTCATGCAATAGATGATAACGATATAGAGGAGGAGGGTTCAGAATATCGAGAGGAGGTTAGAGAACCCAGGGATGACGATATAATCTATGGGGCCAATGATATTAGAAATAGGAGAAATAGGCGAGCACGATGGAACGGCTCATTATTCTCGGATTTGGAATCAGTTCAAGCCGTGGTGGATGAGATATCACGAAGCATTCGTAACGTGGGAGCCAGAGTGCCTTTTCCAATGAGTATTCTTCGAGACTATCACTTCCTTGAGGTAAGTGGTTGTTGATTATATCTCTTTATGCTTAAACTCGGCATGCAATTCAAAAATTGAATCATGCAAGCCAAAATAGAAGCATAGACAACTTCTTAAATGTGAAAGATGGAGCAACAAGCATTAAGGAGACATGAGTGAGAATAAGTGATCATCTTGTGATATAATGGCTAAAATTCATGGGATTGTGATCGATTATACCCAAGGTCTGAATGGGGTCCACTTTACGTCTTCATGTTTGTCCTTGTGGCAACATGTGCCGCCTACCCTTGCCTATAGGTTTAATCTACTTTCTAATTCTCAGTAACAGTAACGTTTATTTAAACTACCTCTAACAGCCGTCATTGTAGTCTAAGGTGATCAATAGGGGGACATCGGTTTTAGACCAAGAAAAGTTTACTTGTGGAATAAATGCATTGTGCACCCACCTAGACATTCAAAGGTGTACGCGCCGAGGTAGTCTTTGGAGAGAGGCAGGCATATGCTAGAGGTGTGCATCAGTGGAAATTTCGCATTTTAAAAATATTATAATTATTAACTATTTTTTGCATTATGTATTCGCTACCATGTATAACATAATTTTCGCCGTCACCTGCAGATGTTTCTCTCATTCCTCTTGCGTTTTTAACTTTTTTTAAAAAAGTCTTGCTGTTTTTATATTCGAATACTCGTTCAAGTGGTTTTCCATTTCAGTTGCAATTCGAAATTGTCTTTCTCTTAGAAAACTGTTCATTAATCCGAGGTTGTAATGGAATGTGGCGTGTTCTACCGAGTTTGGGGAATGTGGTTTTAGCCTCCTTGTCTACTTCCTGCAGTTTTTGGGAGAATGTTTCAGTGTTGAAAAATTTTCCCTTTTCCGATCAATAAACATGGGAGCTTACTCATTGATATCGGATTTAGTCTTGCGGATGAAAGTACTTCATCTGGTTTTATAAATTCGTAATTGTTTATTTCTGCCACACCTAACTAAACTTCTGTTTACAAAATGTTCGATTTCTTATTGATCGACTATAAGTTCTATGGTAAATCATTCCTTTTTAAGAAGGTTGACGATGAAGAGGCCGAAAATAAATTCCCGCATATCGCAGGTGACCCAAGTTCAGTAGCTGATCCCGCTGCAATTACTACCGCAAATCAAGATATGGTGTCCAGGCAAACATCTGACCGTGACGAGCCTGGCCATGGAGGCACTTCAGCAACATCACCCTCCAACACAGCTGATAACAGAGACGAAGATATCCATATGGATCTAACTGTAGGCGGTAATTATGACGTTGATGTTACTGACGCTTCGGAACAAACCTCAAGAGATGAAGAGGAAGATGATGATGATGATGATGATGATGATGACCAGAGTGAGAGCAGCAGCAGCAACAGTGCTAGCAATAGCAGTGAGGCCGAGGTTATCGACGCTAACAAACGACTTCAAGGAACAGTTGATAGTGCCAACGCTTCTCCTGATGTTGCCGACGTGGGAGATGACGGTGATGATGACGATGACAATGACGACGACGACGACGACGATGAAAATAATCCAATGACTCCAGGTAAGTTTCGCTTTAACAATTCACTCTTCTCTGTTAAACTAATTTGCCATATTTTGCATTTTGCTTCTTTTAGATCTTCTCCAACATTTACTTGGTTTAGTTTCCTCTCAAAATCTAGACATTAACGCATTGACTGGCGCTAACAACTCGGCTGGTGAGACTGTTAATGAACCTAATAACCCCTTACCTGGAGATTTCTTTGATTCCACTTTCTTTGAGAATATGGATGAAGAAACGGTGAGTACGCTGTGCGTATTAGAATAAATGACGTCGTAACTGATGCTTATTAGTAGCTTTTTGTTTATCATTTTCAGATTTTGGGTCTGGCAGTTCAAAGAAGTCTTCAAGATCAGGGCGGTCCTGGAACTGCTGCGCTATTGGGAGAACAGGCTGTGGCATCCACGCCACCAGTTGAACGAAATGTAACACCGCGACAAGTAAGTTCGTTTTTACCTATGACAGCTCTCCCTCCAGATTGGGTGGAAGTTTGATTTGAAGGAATAAGTGGATAAAGCTTAATTTTGATTAATTTATGCGACTCTTTTTTGGCAACTTTTAATGAAGATCACAGGTCGAAACACTGTATCCAGAAGTCTTTGGCATTGCCAGTTCAAAATTCCACCAACAGACATTCAGGATTCGAAATAGTTAAGACAGAGATCAGCATAGCTGTAGCGTTTCTGAGAGATTTTAAGAGGTCCTTGAATACATCTTTCCACTTTTAATGATTTTTTGCCGCTTTTCGATAATCACTTTCCACGCTATTTGACTTACTTACTCAGATGTTGATTTCACTTTCATATCGTGTTCATTCTACCGAACTCAAGATGTCTTAAGATCGCGATGCTATACGTCTAATTGAAACAATACGGAGACTGTCGTTTGAGAGTTTTGAGGAGAATCATGATACCCGTTTTTACTGCATTTAGTCTTCAAAGCTTTGATGGTTTGGGATCAAATTGTTCCATTCCCCTAAGCTATCAGCTCCATCGTTCTCAAAAGTCTTTGATTGAGGAGTATCGGATTAAATCTATTCAAGTAAGCTAAAAGTAGGCTGTTTCGTCGTCGTTTTAACTTGGGGGATAATGAAACGTCTCTGGGATTGAAGACAGAAGCCATCGGGAATCTTTTGAATGACACAGCAACAGTTATCAACCATAGAATTTTAGTAGTCTATGCCTACTAACAAGCTGTTGTTAGTTTGTTAATCGGAATCAGCGTTCGTATGCTTTAAATTTCATATTTTAGTTCAATTTACACGTAATCGGAGGTAATTTTCATAGTTATTTATTTATTTCAAATGACAGGTGTTTTGATAGTTATCGTTAGTTTTTAGTTGATTCCGGGCTTCACAGAGTACGCGGAACATCAAAGTGGCAAAAGGTCGAGAGGGGGGGGGGATAGAATAATTATTCACAGATTTAAATGAGAGACAGAGAGACACAAAGGTAGAGAAAAGGTAAGATGAGTACTGTGGAAGTGGTCGAATATGACATACAGTGGGGTGATGATAGTTTGAAGTCAGAGGTCAACTGCCGGTTAATGGACTTTTTGGCGTATGAGTATACGTTGCCCAGGGTGCACCACGGACTCTTTTGCCGTGTATACGTTGCCCAGGGTGCACCAGTTTGTTTGGCGTATGAGTATACGTTGCCCAGGGTGCACCACGTGAAGGTAAGTCCTTCGCACACCTCATATTATTTAGTCAAAGTTGTAACTTTTAGGCCATCTTTTGAAAAAGGACGAAGGATTCCTACATTGCTCCCTGAATTCCAAATTTGCCACAGTTAGCTCAATCCGATAAGCTTATAAAAATGGACAATATCAGATGTTTCTATAAAAATGAACCAAAACTCACTAGATTAATTTAAGAAATGGGTAGGCAGTTTGTATGTTTGAAGTACTTTGAAGATAATGGAAACTTATACTGAGACATTAGTTTAAATTGTCGTATAGTAAGCCATATCTTACTTATTCCTCGACTCTTGTTTTTTAGCCCAATATCGTCGATACCATCGATTTGACTTTGACTCCAGATGACACGCCTGCCAGTTCAAGTAGTTTCAGATCAACTGTTTCTGTAGGTTTTGTTTTTTTCGCATACTTTCCTTTTGGGTGTCCAAATTTCGCTAAATTCAATTACTTTAGACGCAAGTTCTACCACCGAACACTTCAGGAAATGAAGTTGGTGAGTCTTAGTTCTTTGAGTTTTTTGTTCGGTTAAAATGAAATTGGCTTGATTCTTGTTTTCTCTGTGCAGAACGCAAAGCTAGCGTCGAGTCAAAAATTAGTGACATCTGCGAGGGCTTTCTTTCCACTCTTTTCGAAGGGGATGAGGATCCAGTTGATGATGAGTTGTTTGATGCTGATACCTATATGCCCCCTAGTCCTGAAGAAAATGTATGCAGCAAGTAAGTCTTCTCTCCAAATTACCCGTGTCCTACGAGTCTGAGATTTAAAACCCTGTGCACTTCCTCTGTTATGATTTCCTTTCTTCACTATAAAAAGAGGTGTGGAAGGAAGAAGTGGGTGCTCAAAGGGCTTTCTTGGGTTCCAAGGGTAAGCTCCAGAGGTTAGAGCTATTTGCGAGTACGAGAATCTTAGATCAATTATGGGTTCGAAGGTAATAAAATGAGTCTATGACGACATAATGTATCATATTCAGCCCGAGGAATGGGGTATATGTTGATAGAGTCGCTCTTCTTGAAAGTATAGCAACTCCCAAATCTTCAACGAATTATACTTACTATCCATTATATTTATGCCTAATATCAGGTTTTATGATAGTTATCATTAGGCCTTTAGTTAACTTCGGATTTCACAGAGGGGAGGAGGAACATCACAGTCACGAAGTCAAGATGGGGTTCAGAAGAGTGATGCATAGATGTAAAAGAGACAGACAGACGCAAATGTGGAGAAAAAAGTTAAGGTGAGAACTGTGGAAGTGGTCGAATATGGCATAGATTCGGATTATTGTAGTTTGAAGTCAAATGCCGGCTTATTGATTTTCTCATATGAGTATACGTTTGCCCAGAGTGCACCACGTGGAGGTAAGTCAATCGCGCACCTCAGGTATCCCATTATAATTGAGATGACCAATTACGTAGTTGAAAATTAAAGACATCGGTACTGCGCAAAGCCCTTTCTAATTATATGATATTAGTCAGTAAGTGAGCGGAGCTTTGGGAGGCTGACTAAGCCTATAAGTCACGGTATGGAAGTTCAATGTCTTTAACATCAATTTAATATTTTTGCAACCTGATTTTCTTGACCTCATTCAAACTATTTACCTAATTTCAAAGCTGGAGTTTCGAATCAAGCCTTTCTGGAACTGATGTCGACGAGGGCGAGAAGTGTGACAATGAGAACAAGAGACTTAATAGCGACAAGTGTAGTGAAAACGAAAGCGACCCACCATCAGAGCCACCAGATCCTTCTGAATGCATTCTTCAACCCTCTTCACATACCTCTCAAAGTCTATGCGCCACTCGCGCTTGTATTGCACTGATGCGTCAATTTATGCCCAACCTGTCGGACCTCCTTTCAATTGAATCTGAAGGTGATGTCATTAACGGCCAGCTTTTGATTCCTTTCCTGCAGACGACCTTCACAATATCTAGACTCTTGGAAGCCACTGCTCAATGCTTGTTCGTCTCAAATGCTTCGGATGAGATGAAGAAACTTGCTGTCATGGCAAAGTGAGTATCTCAATCATTTTTGTCCTATGTTGATGTTTTTTTCCGAATGGGTAATCGAATCTGCTTATGAGTTAGTTGGAACGGAGCGATTTAAAGTCTTCTTTAAGCATGCAATTCTTCCTTTTCATTCTCCAATATGTGACGATCATATGACTAAATTTTGAACAAACCGTGGTAGTTTTAGATGACTTTCCTGAGCCTCTTGATTTCTCAGCTGTTTTTTCCCATTTTTTTCTCAGTGGAGCTGTAATCGGGGATTAAGAGGCAACGTCTAATCTCTTTAGATAAAAGGGCTTAACAGGTGGTGAATGAAAGGTGCTTGGGTGAAAAGGATACCATGTGAAAGATGCTTAAATTAGTTGATCTCTAATTTTATTAGGGAAAAATAATTGGCGTCAGCTACACAAAGAGTTTAATTTATTTTGACGGTTAGGGATTGGGATGATTTGAACTTGAACGACCAAATAAACGTCTATGCATAGGTATTTAAAAATGCACTACAATCTCTTCCTTTCGAGATGATAGTATGAGTACAGTACAGTCACGATCCTGATTGTTATTTATATTTAAGGTGGCTGGATAAGTGAATGCAAGTGTTAAGAAAGTAATTTAACAATTTATTGAATAATTTAATTAATTTCCCCACTTATTTTCTCTCCTTATAGGACAACTCTGATTGACGTTGTAACTAAACTATCTTCATGGTTCCATCGTTTGTACGAGAGTGAAGATGCGTCCTCTTTGAAACCCTCACCTAATCTTGAATGCCTTCTACTACTTGCTAATCTTCTCTCTCGAATTCTCGTTTCTCAACCAGTCAATGCCAGTTCTGAAGATCGAAAGCATCCGCAATCTCAGGTCAACGCCACTCCAACCTCTCGGATGATTGGAAAGCAGATATTCGGCAATAATGATAATGATGAGGGACTCTTCTCAATGTGTATTAACACATGCCTCAACATCGTGCAAGCACTGCGTTTTAAACTTCGGACAAATCAGAATGTAAGTGTCGATGAGATAAAATTTTGCATTTGCAATAGGAGGAAGGGTGTGGGGGGTTATGGGGATTTCAACCACTTGGGAAATTTGGTGCCATTTTTAACTGCTACTGCTCGTACTCGCGTTAATACGTGGAAAAATTCGTACAAGTTTTAAATTAAACGACAAATAATCCCATTAGAGTATGAACTGAATGAAGAATCGACTCGAGAATGTTCATATTTCGGAATCCTGTCATCGGCAAACTAATTTTATTTAAACTCTGAAATTGTCGATTTGTGGATGTTTTCATGGGGGGTACTTATTAATGTGCCTTTATTAGATCTTCACTATTTGACTCTCAGGTTCATTGTTAAATTAGAATCTCTCTACTCGGTCTAATTATTTCTGTGAAAGGTCGTTTCATTTCGATTTATTTGTTACTTCTTGCATCTATGTAGACAGGTGGCATTGGCAACAATTTTCTCATTGATCGGATTTCCAGTAATTCAATTTTCAATTATTTAATACTACCATGAAGACATGCCACTTTAATTCTAGTTTGAAATTGCGATTTTTAAACTTTATTACTTAACAATGAATTCTTGTTAAATGATGATTCCCAAAAGGCTATTTGTATCTTTTAAGAGGTTTTAAGCCTATTGTTATTAAACACATCTCAGTATTCTTGTGTAAAGACCAAATTGTGGGATTGGCTTCGAGAAATTTTCAAAGATATCACGTAGGGTCCGATTCACAATTACAAGTGGGATAACTAACTACATTTGAGCACATTGTGAGTTCAATCATGTCTAAGCTGTCGTTTCTCAAAGATCATGTACCACAACTGTGAACGGAGCCAATTTTTTGCAATCATCGGTTATGAAAAGTCTTAGAGGAGATGGGACATCTCTTTTGAATTTGTGGTAATCTGAAGTTAAAAAAATCATCAATATATTTTCCAGAATTGAATTACGTACGGTCCCCCCCCCCGGTTTTGTATTGACATTATAATCATTTTTCTTTGTTAATTTATTAGTTCCCAGTTGTTGTTTAAGAGATTGGAATCAAATTTTGCTAATTCTGAAACTGATAATCGAGATGAGATCCATTATCACTCTTAAACAAAGAATTTTCAGTTGGTTCGAAACCCGTTCATCCAGTCACGTGTGTGGTTTCCATTCCTATTTTTAACATTTTTTCGTACATATAAGCTCTCTTCCTGCCGCCTTGTGTGTGAAGTGGCATTTATCCCCCCTCCCCCCCACCTCCGTGTGTGTGTCCTGCCTGCCCAATTTTACTCTGATCCTGTGTTCCACTTGATCGAGAATTGTGTCCTTCCTAGTAAGACCTTGATGTGGGGGTGTATCATAAGATGTTTCGGTTAATTTTCAGCTTACAACAATGAAAAATATAGTAGATGTTTTTACTTTATAGCTGCCACTTGATGAAAATTCATCCTCATCAGCTGCTCAATCAAGTTCTAATAAAGCAACTGAGCCATTTAACCTACCCTTCCTTTCTACTGGCCTTTATCAATGTTCTCTGGGCATTAACTTCTCCAGTCTAGCATACGGTTTCGGAGCGGGTTTAACTAATTCATCGCCACTCCTTGACTCCCAGACATGTATGGATAAGCTGGAGAGAGCTCTTCATTCTGATTTCGAACTTCAAGTGACTGAATCCGCTGTTCAGTTGGCAATCGCTCTACTCTCTGCAAGAGGTTCTGAAGACAATAACACGGAGAGAAGAACAACTTGGTGTAATGTCGCTTACGATCTCATTGAACTACTCACTTCCACTGTTGGGCAATCCGATGACTCAAAATCAACTAAATCAGAAGCCGTACATATTCTAAAATGCAGCCCAACTGGAGCCAGTCGCCTTGCTGGATTGATGCGTTCAGTAAGTGGTGGATGAGTGTTTGAACTCGATCCTCATTTTATGTTGGTTAATAAACTGATCTGTAACTTTTACTTAGCTGTTAATTCTTCTCGTGGGTCCGAAGCACTATATTCAGCTGAAGGATGTTCACCTGTTAAAACAGATGCTGGATCGGATGCAATCGATCTATGCCTCAGCTATTACAGAGGACGCACTTGTTGGAAAGGAAAAATCATTTTTCCCTAATCCGATTCCGTACTTTAGTGAATGCTGCATGGTAAAGGGGATATGGTTCAACTTTGCTATTTTTTGCTGCTTTGCTTACAATTATAATACATTTCATTCTGTTTTAGCTCCGCTGTATTAACACATGTTTGGATATTGCGCTGGAGAATCGTTCAACTTGGGAGCGTTTATCTCTTCGAAAACCGGGTAAGTTTTCCAGCGGTGCTTAATTGAACCTCGCGAACGCATGACAGCCGTAAAATCCTAGGCTCTGACTGCCATACTCTACTTGTTTCCTATTTCATCTGCCTTCTGTTGTTGTTCTTCAGATTGCTTCCTTTTTATGCTGGAAATCAGCCTTCGTGTTCGGGACGTTCTTGCCCAGGGTCTACTCTCATTGGTTCTTCTAGCCGTCCTTCAGGATTCAACCCGAGTTTGTGTCGCGGCTAAAGTAAAATTATTTTCATTATGTAGTGAAGGGAAGGAGAGAGAAATGCAATATCTTTCAATTTCAACCCCCTCTCCCATTTTAGGTGAATAAATTGGAGGAGCCATCTTCAGCCACTAGGAAGTTTTTCAACAGTTTGACTCAACTGATTATTGATGAGGATGATAATCAAAACCTTCTACTGAATTTCATTCGTGGAAATGTGTGTTGTCGATCTGATAAACGAATTCGTTTCACTGCAGCTTCTATATTGGTTCATCTTGCATGGTATGTTCTGAAAGTAATTTTATGTAAACGTACTTAATCTACCCTCGTGTTTATATGCTATCGTAAGCATGTATCCGAGCTCTCTAGTAACGGTATTTAATTTCGTTCAATTTGTATTTCCATCTAGCCAATGCAGGAGCGGTTCTTTTGCAACAGCAATCTTGAAGCACCTGCCTCAATTATGGTCAGAACTCCCCTCATTTGCACCCTACGGCAGCGAGCTGACCTTTTTGACTCTCAACGTTCTTCAACTCCACCCCAAAGGACCTACTGCTGAGTCGCTTGTTAATCAGTTGATGCAATTGCTTCTCAACCAATTGAATGCTATTGCTGAGCATCCAAAGCGTGATATCTACAAGAGTCTCATTGTACGTCTTTCCTTCACCTACTTAGTGTAAAATTTAAAAAAAATGGTGCTTTAGGCAAGGGGGGCATATATCTGTTTAAAGATACAAGATGAGTAAAGAATGTATGCATTAAAGATTTCTGAATGGCGTAAACTTGGGTTTGAACCTGTTTTCCTCTAAACACTTCGCTTTTTTGAAGATTTTTGAAGTCTTTCAGTAATATAAAATCATCTTAGATGCATTGGGGTAGTCGTTTCAAGAGTACAAAGACTTATCTTTTTTTCATTCAACAGAGGGCCTATTCCGCAAGTGGAATCACAGTCGGCATGACTTGTGCCTCCGATGATGCAAAATGGGTAGGATTGCATCTACCAGCCAATTTTGTTTCTCAATTTGCGCCTCCTTCTTACATTCCTCCACTAGTGACATCTCAACTCATTTCTTGTCCCTCCGACACTGAGCCCTGTCTCCTTTGTAATCACCCCCTCGAATCCTACATGCCTTTCATCAATCTCCACTGGAACAGCCACACTCCCTCCAGACGCCACGGTACTAACGGATCTTTCTCCTCGACACCTGGAACTTCTGGCAACGCTCTCACTTTGACTTCATCCTCAAAGCCTAATTACCCCTTTTCCCTTTACGTTTTTGAGTGTCAGCTACCCAGTTTACCAAATAATACTCCCACTTCAACCACTTCAACCACCACAACTGCCACCAACACCACGCCTGCAAATCCCACTTCAGTTATTGATATAGAGCCTGTGACCAGCGTCTCACCTAATGTACACATATACTCGCTAAGAGAGAATTGGCAAGTTGGTCGTATTGTGGTTCAATTCTCGCCTCCGACTTCTTCGACTCATAATATTCGAACACTCAATATCTTGACCTCGGATGCTTTCGAATGCCCACCAGCTCGGTTAATGCATTCAAGAAATCTTTGGAAACATCTAGTTCAAGTTGACTTCCCTCCCACAAAACACAATTTGGTGGTCAATTTAACCTCTGAAACCATACCTGATGTGGGTGGTTCAAATGCACTCTCCATGGATCCATCTAACACCGTTGAGGTAAATATCTCAGGAGGTCTACCTTTGCATGCTAATGCAATAATCTTCCACTATGCAGCCTTCCAATTTTCGGATGGTAGTGAGACTAAAGCCGATGGAGCTGGAACTCGCAGACGCCGCAAACTTTGTTCTAGGTGCAATGTGCCCCTTAATAATAGCTTAACGTGCTCAAACTGTGGACAGAGTGGTAATCAATGCAGTCGATGTCTCTTCATCAATCTCACGGATGAAGAAGCGTTCCTCTGTCCAAAGTGCGGATCCTCTAATCACAATTTTATGAATTACTATGTAGCAGTGAGGCCCTCTTTCTCTCATGTTAGCCGATTGTCTGATGAGGAGGATCGACGAATAGCGCTCTCGAAAATTGTCGCTTTAACTAAGGAATTAAATATTCATAACATCTCAACTGGTCGTGTTCAAAGTGCATTGTTCTCTAAGCCTTCAAGAGAACCCTTAAAATCTATTCATTGGCCTCGGGATAATGTTATCAAGACGCTGACTGAAATGGATAACCGTGCCAAAATGTCTGTGCTCCTTGTTAGTCGCTTATGGTCTTTGAGACAGTCCGTAGCTCTATATGACGGCCGATGTTCGTTTAATCTTTCATCCGAGGCGAATGTCCCCTGTTTTAATTATTCTAGCGGCGATGATAGGTGTTTGCGATGTTCCCAGGCCGCCATCACCCTTCTTGCTCATTTGATCTTGTCTATTAAACCGTCTGTTTTCTCTGAAGATTTGCGAAAAGAATTTATCACTCGGGGTATGCCCCTTCTTAATAGCCTATGCGCTGCCGCTCAAGGAAAACTTTTGAACTCCATTTGCCATATCACTTCAAATTCGGTTCCGATTGTAAGTCGTCACTTTAGTTCTTTATTCTTCGCTCCTTCTAGATCAATCACTTTGGTGACTTGTTAATCTCTCGTTTGAGTGCCCTCGCTCAGTGTGATGATTACATTTTCGACTTCCACTATTCTACTTATTTGGAAGTCTCTTTGTTGAAAGCCAATTTGAAGGCAGCTATGCATGACACTACTAGTAAGCATTTATTTCAATTTTAAACCGAATCACTTTCACATTAAGGCTTTATCTCTTGCCGTTTACTTGTAGTTTGTGTCGACAGAAATCGACTCTGCTCGGAAGCCCGACTTCGAATTTTCTTCCGCCTTATTAAAAATCTGATTTCACGTAATGTCTCTCCTGTCGTGATGGATGGTGTTATTATGAGCTGTGTTGAATGTCTCCCTAGTATAATCGATAAACCGGTAGCGCAACCTCTCACTTATCGAGCTCCAGGAGTTAATTTCGAAGCTTGGCTTCGTGGAGATGACTCTGCTGGTTTCAACACTTGGCTAAAACAACTGAAAATCGCTCAACAGATGTCTGTATTTGCTCCTAAGTTGACCGAAGGAAAACCGTCTCGTGAACTCATTCTTAGCGCACGGTTTGCCCGTCGCTGGAGATATAAAACTTTGATTGCTCGCTTGTCTCCTTTAATGAAAATTGAACGATCTGTAGGCCTAACTGTTCCTGGAGGTTGGCTGAAACGCCTTCTAGATTATTCGTTCCATTCCAATCGAGAAATGTGTTTCCAGTCGACTGGACTCGATCTCCTCACTAAGCTTGTTTTCAGCAAGTTACCATCATCCTCCTATCGAACTGTAGACTGTATACACTTCCTTCTTCAGTACTATGTCCCGAAGATAAGCACCTTGGTTCGAGGTAATCGTGGTTCCATAACTGCTGAAACCTTACCTATGAATTCAATGATCGCCTTCTTATGGACCCTTATTGCTGATGACTTGCCTGATAGCATGAGGGAAATTATTTCCAGGAGGACTCTGCGTTACGGTCTTGAGTCAGCTTCAAAGTCTTCAAATCCCTCTGGAGTTGAGTCTGCTGTTTCTATGGCACCGTTGGTTTTGACATCTCTACTGCTCTCTCAAGGCCGTTTACTTGGTAATTACTCCCACTTAGTACTGCCAAGTGGCGTCTTTCTGTTAACATCAGCAGTCATTTTAAACATTATTTGGCTACCTTATTAACTCAGGAGAGAGAGAGGAGGGTGTAGTGTTTGGCAACCTAACTTTGGCCGCAACTGTTTTCACTAAATTTAGAACTTCCAATGTTTTTTTTGCTTTTTAGAGTTTTGTAATATCATTAAATGAAATTTTCACCTCTATTAATTATTTTCTATTTTACATTAATTTCATTAGAACCATTTTTGTAAATCTTGCTGTTTTTTTTACTTGAATACTCATTCAAGTAGTTTCTGCTTAAATCGCAATTTGAAATTGTCTTTCCCTTGGCAAACGGTCCATTAATCTGAGGCTGTAATGGAATGTAGTGTGTTCCTACCGAGTTCAGGGAATGTGGTTTTAGCCTCCTGGTCTACTTCCTGCATTTTTTGGGAGAATGTTTCGATTTCTTTTGGCCACCTCTAATACGTTAAATGATATACAAAAATGGTTAGATAAAAACAAAATCTTCATTTGACTGTTAAACTCCCTTCATATTAAAGGGCGCAGAAATTGGAGTAAAGCAGTCTCCGTGTCTTTATTGCTACAGTCCACTCCCTCCAAAGAGAGCTATGCAGTTAATATAGTTAATGGCCACCTATCCACCTTGTTCGACTTCAACACTTCAACCTTCTGTGTCCATGTTATTCTAAACCCAAAGTGAAATGCATGCTAGCGTTGCCTACTTTTGATAATAACGGCGACCTATAAGGGTCTTGTGGGAATGATAGACGTATAATAGATCTTTGTTGGTGGAACCATGCAGTCTTTGTTTCGAGTATATTGTCTAGAGTTATTTATAATTTTGTCATACTTGTCTCCTGGACATTTTTCGAACTCTCTTTTCTTGTTTCTAGATCGCGTGGAAGCGTTGTTGACCGAAACTTTACATAACCTTTCAAGCTTTGAAGGAGTTAATGAAAAGATTTGTGAACTTCCCCACCTGTATTCTTGGACGAATGCTCTTCCTTCAAGATTATCCGCAGCTAGTGGTTCTGGAGCTCTGCCGAGTATTAATGCTGGTTACGTCATGATGCACATTTCCGATCTTCTGGCTATTCTTCAACCACTGGTTAGTCGTTATTTGGGAATGGTGAAATAAGTTTAGCATGTTTCATATTGATCAATTAATTGGCTAATCCTATTGTTATAAAGCGGTGTTTCTAGGTTTGCCTTAAACATACTCATATATATTTCGTCTTGTATATTCCTGTTACATTCCACTAACTACTAATTTACGTTCAAAATTTTTCTATCCAGCAGTCAATACTTACTCTGTATATTTTATGAGCAAGCCCTTAATCTCCTTTTTGATTACCTTTCAGAACAAGCTCCGTCCAGAATATCAAAATCGTCTGTTCTCCTTGCTCCTTCGCCTAATTGTGGTTCTACAGGCTCTAGTCTTTCTGCGGACTTCTTTCACGATGAAAGCTGAAACCCTCTTCAAGGAACTTCTTCAGCAAATCATGATTAATGCTGGTGATCGGGTTACAGATTTCATTCGAGTAATTTTTCTGAGAATCTCTTTGATTTGTTTCAGGGGATACTTTTCTCGTCACTTTAATAAACAAGGCAGTTAAATAGCAAGTAGGTGATAGCAAAAACTGTGATCGTTTATGTCAGCTCAACTCAGATGGCACCCTTTGGAGTAAGTCTCAAACAACAGTTCCTAAATCAGAGTCCCAAGGTTTGTGAATAATAATTCACTTTCGAGATAGTGAGGTAGGGAGTAGTAAGATGATAAAGAGCCATAGGATAGATGTAAACTACTGTTTGTACCACGTGTCTTTAAACCAGTCTGGGAGTGAGTACCGTCAGAGTAGTCCAATCCTCTCGATTCTTCAGTATTCTTCCATACCATTAACGTAGTGTTTGCTGAAGATGAGTCGGATTACTGACGTCTAGTTTGCTATTGATGCATTGCGTTCTTTGTCCTCCGTAGATCACAATGGATTTCTTGTCGCAATGTTCAAATGACCAATCTGCCAATTACAGTTCAGTAGTCTTCTTACTCAAACGCATCTGTGATTGTGCCTGCCCTCTGCCTGGTGAAATAGCACCCTTCGAGGTTCGCGTCTCGGTCTGGCGTGATCAAGAAGAGTATCTTGTCGTTCGGCGCACTCGTAATGTCATCATGTGAGTCCTTTCTCTGTGTGTGTGTGTGTGTGTGTGTGTGTGTGTGTGTGTGTGTGTGTCATTGGCGTAATGATCAATTTACACGCCTACTGATTCAGACCCGACACTTAAGATCTAACCATTTCGACACGAACTCAATGGCCAATATAGTTATTTAGATGAGCCCAATGTCTTGGTGTCTCTTTTTTTACTTTCCATTGAACTTCACTCATGGAAAGGATAGACGTATCATTTGTCGATTTATCGGCTGAAGACTTGGAAGATCAAGAGATAAAGGGTGAGAAAAAATGGATTGATCCGTAGGCGCTGAGGCTAGCGGCGGTTCTATCTAAATGATTCCATAACAGTTCAAATATAAATAAACAAGTAACATTTATTTCAGAAGAATTTAACCTTCAAATTTTGCTTTGTGAATCACTGCTTCAAAACAAATGAATTTGCGTATTTGCTTTTTATGGTCAAATAGTAAGAGGGAATGATAAGTGTTCAAGGGCATAGGCTTTAAAAATGCCTCCCTTTTCATCATGTAATGATTCTTGTAAAGTCTTTCCTTTTGGAGATGTATCTATTTATTTATTTCAAATGGCAGGCGTTTTGATGCTATCATTAGCCATTTAGCCGACTTCGGGCTTCACAGAGGCAAGGGTCATCAAAGTAGAAGAACGTCGAGGGGTGGGGAACAGGAGAGCGATTCACATATGTAAAAGAGGCAGACAGACACAAAGGTAGAGAAGAAGGTAAGATGAGTACTGTGGAAGTGGTTGAATATGACAAGCAGTCGGGCCATGGTAGTTTGAAGTCAGAAGTCAACTGCCAGTTAATAGACTTTTTGTCGTATGGGTATACGTTGCCCAGGGTGCACCACGTGGAGGTAAGTCTATCGCACACCCCAACCTTTTGGAGATGTAATAAGCATCATATTTTATTATGATTTGTTTCACTCGTAGGTCTAATACTCGGGGCTTTGGGCCAACCATTGGTGATGTAGTCAATTACATATGCACAGAGAACAATCTGACAACATCAATTCTTCTGGAGGTCGTTTGTGATGGCAATATCCTAATGCCGAATCTCCTACTTGAGGATGTCTACAGATATCTTTGGCTTCAAAGTCACCGTGATGTAAGCCCTTTCCCCCCCCCCCCCCCTACTATCATTCCCCCCTACGCTTATTCCTTTTACTCTCTGTGCTCTCATCTTAGGCGAACAGTGCGTTGGAGCTAACTTATCGGATCGCAGGTTTAGAAAATGATAACTTGCCATATTTGTCACATATACCGCATCCTACAATTTCATTCGAAGAGTATTCTCGTCTGGCTATTCTCACGGAACACCCTGGAGGTTTCAAGGTCATTTTAAATCAATTGTCAGGTCTCACTGACGCATTGAAATGCCGTGATCTTCTTCACACTTCCGTTCATTTGCTTGAGTATTGTTTGAAGGTTCCTGAATGTCAGGCTAGTCTGCTAGATCCGCAACTTAGGTAAGAGCCTTTCTATTACAAATTAAACAAAGTTAATGGGTGATTTAATTTACGCATTATTCATTTCAGGGTGATCCCGATTTTACTTGATGCACTCTATGCCTGCTTAAGGGTACTTCAACAACAGAATGGTCCAACTGATAACTCTAATGAAACCGAAAATCATGCTCACTTCCATAATCAAGTTACTTCTCGTCTCGTTGGCATTCTGACAACAATTCTCAACAACGCTGCAAATAATAATGAAATCGAGAACCAAGTGAAGGGCAATGACAGCGATCTTATGGGACTTCCACGACTTCTCAGTTGCATATCTCTTTATCCCGAAATGGACGTTGTTAAATCTGGGGTGGCTAAACTTCCAGGTCTCCTAGCTTTTGGCTCGGAAGCAAGAATGACAGCTATTGTTGACTTTCTGCGTGAAAATGCCACCAAACCGCTTCTAATTGATGGAAATAGCTCGATGGTTGAAGACGATGAGAACTTGTTGCAATGCTGCTGCGCTTTGGTTATGTCTATTCCGCATAATACAGTGCATGGAAGATGTTTGAGAGCTAGGATTGTTGAAGGTTTGCAACTGTTGAAGCTCTCGGTGGACTTTCTCTGGAAAATTATCCCGTCCAACTTTTTGACTGAACCTGAGGAGACTGTTCTTGAGTAAGTTGAAATTTAAGAGATTGATATAAAGACGACAATTCGACAGTCCAAGTCTTTTTTTGACTACTAGAGAAATAATAGAGTTCCCCAATATAAATACAGAGTTTTTTCGGGTAACTGTGATGTGTACAATATTATACTATTTACCTTAATAAGTAGAATGGCAAATTCTTCGTCTACTCATGCCACTAATTCGCCAGCCCTAAACTACCCAAAGTTAGAGGAAATGAGGCGTATTTGACGATATTTTACGGGCAGCTCCTTGAAAAGGGAGCTAGACAGACGTTCTATTATACCTCATCACTTAGATATGTGATAATATGGTGGCAAGTGAATAAAGTGAGGAGTTGTTAATGATTTTCGGTTCTAATTTCACCTTGTTTTTTTTCATTTCCCAGTACAAATAATGCTGCGGTTTTGAAGTTCTCGGAAAACTCCTTCCTGCCTTTTGTACTCCAACTTCTTCGTGGTTGCATGTGGTGTCCGATGTCTGTGACAGCTGATACCAAGGATCCACCCCCTCCTATTTTCCCTTCTCCACCTCCTGAACACACAACTCGTCAACTTCTTGCCTTCCTTCACAAATTGGAGGATTCAAAGTGTGTTGGACAAATTGGTCTGTTGTGTGAGGATCTTTTCAATGAGTGGATTGATTGTGCTAGAGATAATAAGTTGGAGAGTACAGATTTAACCACATTTAACGGTGTCATTTGCACTATTCGTGAGCTTCGCTACCTCTCACAACAACGTCATCGTCAAAACGCTCGTGCATGTCGTGAAAAACACCTCCTAGCTCTTAATATGAAGGTTAACGAGAAGGGTCAAGTAGCTATGACAACCGCAAATTTGTTGACAGAAATGGCAGCACAGGTTGTCGAGGAAACAGGTCTCCAATGTGCCATCTGCCATGAAGGACCACGTTCAGCACCACGTGAGGAACTCGGCATTTACGCATTTATTCGCCGAACGAAATTAGAGGAATCGTTAATCGCCGGAGAAGTAGTGGGGACTTCGAGCCACCCAAAACCCTACAATTCTACCGATGGTCCTCAGAAAGCTGGAGACGGATACACAACAGTATCCAGCTTTGTTTTGGTACACTTTGAATGTCATGCGAAGGCTGTGCGTGCCTCCACACAGAACGAGTGGAACGTGGCTACTAGACACAATCGAGATGCCAGATGCAATTGTCTCCTCCCTGTTCTTATGAGAGAAGCTCCAGCTCCTGATAAGGATGGCGAGAAGAAAGACGCCACGATAAAAGATGGAGATTCAAAGGGGAAGAAGGGAGACGCTGCTTCCAACAGCTCCATGCGCGAACTCTTTATTAAGAGAGTAAACAGCCATAATCTCAATGTCTCTGTAAGTTTGTTACCCACTCTTTTATTCGCTACTATTATTATTCTTGTCAATAGATGCTTTGTTTTGCCGATTCACTCAGTATTAGGAAACACTTGATTACGTCCTAGTAGCACTAATCTTTGAAATTGTGAGCACTGGTCGGAAGTTACGAGATTTTGACTAATCATTGTATAATTAATTATCGAAATTAGTAATTGTATTTGCTATACCAATAAAAGCCGTTTAAGTTATCATGAATTGATAAAAATAATATTCTAATAAATGCATCACGGTATGCTACTGGCACTTTCTGCTACTTGTTGAAATGACATCGGTAATGAGTTCATCACTGTGAATTCTGAGATGTACCTAGTGTTTTAAGCCAATTAAGAAGGGTATATCTTTCTCAGTTTCTGTTTACAATATTAGGAGAATAATCTAGAATACAAAAAATGTTTTGTGTACATTTTGGTGGGAATAGGCATGTAGCAGAATGGAGGAAAACAAACGTGTTCTGTTCGAATCAGCTGTGTTCTAGAAGCAAGGGTCAGAATGAACTTATTACCCACGACACAAATGGTTAATGCTTAGATATGTATACATGTATACATATATATGTGAACTTCTTTCCAGATGGTTGTCTCTATGACTGTAAGCACTCGTCTTGCCTTCCATGATATCAAATTACTTCTTCTTCGATTCGCTTTTCAACGTTCTTTCCATGGTGAAACTGGTGGAGGTGCTCGAGAAAGCAATCTCAACCTAATTCCCCATCTTATGCAGGTATGTTTATTCCGCATTTGAAATTGTCTCTTGATCTCAGTATTGTGCTTTCTATCACCGATTTCTCCCCTTTAGTTGGCCTTCTATCAAATGAAAAAGGAGCAGACGCTGGAATCTGAACGTAGCAACCTGATGAGAGTTCTAGATAGCCCAGAATCTCAGTATGTGTTGTTGATTTTCCTTACATAGGGTCATCTATTCATATTGATCTTATTTTCGTCATTACTTAACATTCCAGTTGGTATACGGAGAAATGGGAGGCTGCTGGACCTCTGTACTGCGCAGTAGTTGCTCTTCATCTCTTCTCTCGCAGCGAATGGGACAAGCATCGTGTTGCTCTGCTCCGTCGCCTCATAGTTCTTGCTCATGCCCGGGCGATGTCGTCAGATGCTAAGTCCTCAGAGGCACTAGCTTTTAGTGTCTATAAGCCCTATCTCTTATACTTTGGTCTAATTCAGGCTTTCTATACTCACTTCTTCAAGGTGAGTTGATGGTGCATTGAAAGCTATTTGTTGATGTTTCTTGTGTTCTTTCGGATTTGATCGCATTCCTCTTGCCCTCCCCTAGAGTGTAAAAGAACCAACTGGAGAGGAGAGTTCAAATTCCTCGTGGTGGCCTGAAGTGGTGTCGGAATACATTCGGGTTTCGGACGAAAACTTGCTCTCAGCTACGCCGGAACTCCTCTCCTTCTTTGAAGATGACCTATTGCCTGTTGATTCTGTAGAGGAATTCCTTGATGTAACTGGTGAGTTTTCTTTATTCCGCACATTTTTGTCATCTTAGAGTCTTAGTGATTGTTAATGTTGTTCTTGGTGATGTTTTTGCAGTAAGCAGTTAAAACTACTGTTTCCATCAGTCATTAGAGACATTCAGCATATATCAAGGGATTATTTAAACGTGAGCTTTTGTTGAGCTAATGGTTTTAAATCGTTGTCTATTGTTACGCATCCAACGATGTGGATGACCAATGGTAGAGCTTTTCATGCAGAAAGCTTTCTCTTTACCCAATTCTAGCGTTTTAGGCAACTTCTTTAGTAGTTATTTTGTGGTTTGTGTCGATTGCAAAGTATCAAAAGCTGGAATGAATCATCTTGTTAGTCAATGTTAAAATGAGCATAGTGGGTTCCAATGAATTTGTTCGAGCAATAATTCTTTCGATAGCTGGCAAGGCTCTTAGGAAGTTTGAACCACTAATCACTTAAGATAGAGGCTGTCATATTTGAACTGGGTGTGTGTATGTGCCCTAACGGTGGGGAATATTTTTTGCTTTAATTATCTTGATCAGTTCTATTCGCTGTTTTAAGTTCTATTCCTCAGTTTGAGATATTGAGGCCGGAATTTTAGCAGACTTGATTTAGGTTATGAGTTGTATTTGTTGCCATTCTTGCTTAATGATAGAGCTGTGCTAACCTATGTATTACATCAAACTTAATGGTTCTTCCCTCCGGTTTTAAGCGCCGAAAGATTTCATCTCCTATCTAATGCTTGTTAGACCAATCTTAAAAATTTGTATTTTCACTTTTAGAAATGCTTGGTGAGGTTGATGCAAACGAATTAATCCCTCTGGGGACCACAGTTTCGCACTAAAAGGACAGTATCAAATATCAAACACACTGTGACTTATTTGAATGAAAATATAGATATGACTGAAGAATATACCACAGCTTTCCGAAATGTACCACCCATTTTCCCATCCTCTGCTCTGCAACCATACAATTAACTGACAAACTTGGCCCACCCCACCCCACTTCCTATGTCCCCCCCCCCCCCCCCCCCCCTTCGTTTTCATGAATATAGTTTATCAAACGCATTCATTACATCTCTGTCTCTTCTTGTAAATTGAAAGGTGGACGCGTAGTGGCATTAATAGTACAGGGTGTCTTTCGATTCTCCATTCGTAACGTGACTTTTGATGCGTTGAATTCAGGCGAAATAGCTAGCATTCGTGATTCGAATGCAATCATTTGAGTCGCGTCCATTTGAGCAATGATCTTGAAAGCGTATTTAGTATGTTGCATACAGGCTTTCGAGGAAAAATTTCTATAAAGGACGTACAACGTTAGATACATGAAGAAAATTCCAATTCAAGGAATAGCAAATTGCAAATATAGTTGCACATTAACTGGTCTGAATGAGTGGATTCTAGCCTACTTTCGTGATAACCGCTCTATTCACCAATTTTTTACAACAGCGTGTCAGAGTAGAATAGCACTGGAAAGAATAAGGGTAGTTTCTCCTAAATACTTATAGTTAATTTGCAGTAGCAGTTAAATCTGATGAAACCCTGCAGTTTGCTTCCGCAAGTTTTGAGATCAAATGGACTTCTGGTATCTGTCGTTGTGCATTAGGTCAGTCGGATTGATATCGATCAAACAAAAGTGGATACCCACAACGCGCGCATATCAAATTCCGTGGAATGAAAAAGGTAAAGACGCAAGCAGATACGATCCCTTTATATTTACAAAATCAACAACTACAGGAGTTATCTTATTGCTTCGCCTGAGCCGATTCCTGGAGAGCTGACGGTAGAGTCTCTAGTCGATGCTAAATAGAAAAAGATGTAATGGAAGTGAATACTAATGACGTAAGAAATAACATGTCAAAAATTATATGGTGCATTACCTGTTTGACAATCATATGGACACCCCCTGGAAGATTTCGCTGGATGTATTCAAGAAATACATTAGCAGTACAGCCAGTTATGTTCGGAATCTAATAACATTAAAATATGCTGAATAAAATGGGCATATAACAACATACAGTAAACGTTTTAACATAAGATCGGAATTCATATTGACGCTGGTGCTTCTTGTGAATAAAAGGTGACTTATTCATGGATAAGCGGTCAAATATCGGAGAGTGCCTAGTTTCTCTATAAGGCAGCAAGCAAACAATTAAACGTTGGAGGCGAGGGTAGGAGCAACAAGGAAAAGGAAGCCACTTACACAGCACAATCCAAATCGAAATGCTCACAAACTTTCTTCAAAAATGACTCATAACTTTTTAAAACAGCAGGCTCATGACCTTTAACTTCCAATTCAAGTTTTTTAAGAAGAATATCCGGTTCATCAATTTCTTCACCCTTAAAAATATGAAACAAATAGTGCACTTACATCAAAGGGTTCCTTGAACGTTGAAAATTTGATAGCATTCAACGGTGAGGATATGGGAACCCGGAAATAAAGTTTCTGAGGTAAGCGAAGAAAACTGGAGAGAAATGACATGTGTGCACCCTCGGGCTAGAGGATCAAAGTGGCTCCTTTAGAGATAAGAATTTTTGCTTATTAAGGTACAAAAGCTGTAATAAATATACTATTTACTAAAATGATATCTAATTGCATTTCCCAGAGAAATTATTAACTTAGCAATGGCAATTGATCGAAAAATATTCTAACCGATTAGAATAAATAAATTATATGGCCGAACAATGCAAAAATTTGATGTTTTAATTAAATATTTTAATTACCATCGAGCTACTCTTACCCAAATCCAATACTATATTAATACCTCATATATATGTTTGGCCACTTGAGCAAACATTATAGTAAACCCATTTTAGCCCGACTGTTCATACTGAATATCGTTGTTCTCTTCGAAATGGATAGTGGGGGTTAGCTTGACTATCTATTTATAAACTTTTAGGCAATAAAACAAATCAAGAAGAAATTAATGTGCCAGGACCGTCAACTTGTAATCCTATTGACGATTATGAAGCAATTCAGATCCAGCAGGATGAGATAGAAAAAAGTGTAAATTAAATTTGGAAATTCTAGTAGTATTTTAGATAAAAGAAAGTGGACCACTCGTTGGCGAGCCCGAGCCTATTACTGTACTTGCCGAAGATTTTTCAGATCATCCTATTTATTTGGTCAAACTTGAAGTAAGTAAACATGTAAATCTTATTTCCTTTTCTGCAGCAAATTAAACAGAAGTACAGTAAGATTCGACGACTACGTCGTGATGGCAACTGCTTTTATCGTGGCTTTGGTTTTGCCTATTTAGAATATCTTGCTAAGGGTAACCGAACGGAAGAATTTAAAAAGTTTGATTTTTTCGCATAATTCCACTGTTTCAGGTTTCTAAGTCGTTGCGATGAATGTAAAGATGCTTTACTTAAAAGAGGCTATACTGATTTTACTGTTGAAGATTTTCATGATCAGGTAAATTTACCATAGCAATATTATTCTCCTTAAGTTCACAACATTCGTGAAAAGCCTGGAAAATAACGAACAGGCCCTATTAAATTTGCAAGAAAGATTTACAAATTCTGGTTATTCTGATTACTTCGTGGTCTTTCTGAGGCAAGATTAAACTCTGTAAATGTTGACAATTTGTTTAGACTTTGCGTTTCTAGCTATATGCAACAAAATGAAGATTTCTATATTAACTTTATAACCGATGACAGGACCGTTAAAAAGTTTTGCGAAATGGTATACTGTTTGTTATTTTATTGCTTATAAACCTTTAGGAAGTTGAACCTATGGGCTTAGAAAGCGACAATATTCATATATCAGCTCTAGCAAAAGCTTTAGACGTTCCAATTAATATCGAGAATTGCCAGCTATCCGGTAACTTGAACGAAATTTACATCCCGGGTCATAATGATGAAAATTCTGATGGAAGCCCTTGCCCTTCTCCTGTAACGTTGCTTTATCGACCCGGACACTACGATATTTTGTACGCCTGAACAAGTGACACTCAACTTGATATGTACGAATTACTCGATTTTGAACTATTCTGTGCTTTTTTCATGCTTTTCTCCCGCTCTTATCTGAGTATGAAACTTCGCTATTTGTGCATTTTGTTATTGTCTCTTTGTCTCTATTGCACTTATCATGCTTAAGTGGGTTTTTGGGTTTTACTCACTTTAAAACCAACGTGATTTCACGTGCGTTTTCCACTTGCAGATTGTTTTTCCTTGTTAGCGACATTAGTCCTCTCAGATTATCTAATTAATTCAATTATAAAATGCCCTTTTTATGTGGAGACTATCGCTTAGTGTTTCGAGCCCTTGGCAGATCTGCGGATTTTTGCCTTTCCAGATGACTAGACTGATTTTTTGAGCTCATGATAAGTTTTTTTTTTAATTTTCTAGTGATCAATGCGGTGTAAAATAAATTTATTTGGGAATGTACTTTTGAGTTCTGCTCGCTTTCACTTTTATGCTTTTTTTATTGAGGTTTTGAGTGAAATTCTACGCACTCTTAAGTCGCAGCAACAGCAGTAAAAAATTGGTTTTACGACACTAGGATCTTGTGCACGAAAATGTTAGTATCAAAAGCTGTCATTTCTTCTAAAACCGGGAAGGTTGGTTAGCTAGTTCCTTACTTTTAGAACGTCAAATTTGACCAGAATCTTAAACTAAATCAATAAAGAACTTGTTTTCGTCATACCTGGGAATGTGCATAAGTGAAGCATTGGGCACCAATCCAGGGTTTAAATTTCATGTTTTGCAGCATTACAGGCATCACTGTTATTATTCTATCAGTATGGACCCTGACAGCGCTTGTACATGTAGCTGTCGACTGCTCAAACACACAGAGAGAATCCCAAAATGAATAAGCATTCAATTCTGTTTGAACTCTATATTTACCTTCATTATTAAATTATTATAAATGTAGCAAATATATTGGGAATGGATAGGGTGTGAAGGAAGTCAATAGGAGAAATGTTGACTTCAGCGATCGCCATGGAAACTTCTTCGTCCGATGACCTGAGTCCTTAAGGCAGCGGCGGAGATGTTATCCCCACCGCCCACTGTTCGAATTACCCTTCGACAAACGGGGACTGGAGCCACACAGATTTCCACCCGTGTTGAGCGTTCATTCTGCTTGTTCTCTGCTGAAGGCTCATCTTCAAACCAACAAGATACGGGTGAGGTAGAATTGAATTTGATCCGAGGAACATTGCAGCCGGAGTCGCAGTGAAGTGCGGATGGCCAACGGGCAGGATTCGCAGTAACCGCGAAGCTTTCGTCCATGAGGAGACGGGTTAGGTCTGGATCTACGTTTGCTGAGGCACAAGTGTGGCGATGGGCAATGAGACTGGCCTGAAAAGTACACACAATTGATAACTGCGATAGAAATTGGTCGCCAATTTAGTTTGTGCTCAAAATACAGAGGGTAGGCTAATTTTTCTGGCAATATGGAACCTACAAATAGATGGTAAATTTGTGCCGATAATATTAAAAATCATGGGATGCCACTGTTATTTGGAGTTTTCATCAATTGCCGTTGGTGATGTAAACAACTATTAAAACCCTGCAGTTTCTATTAAAGAGGCCAACCTCTTATGGAGACAAATGGTGAATGAACTGGACACTTAATTTCGGATAGAAAGAAATTATCCCGTTATGAAGAACCTTTATTCTTGCATAATAAGCCAGTACGGATCACTGTGCATTTCCGATAAACATGGAAAAACTTATCAGACAGGTGAACTGGCCACTAAAGACAGACCCTGCAATTTAATACATTTTGCCATGTAAATTTGATGAAAGATGAACATTAGATTACCTACTTTCGCTTATTAGAAAATTCTATCCACTAGAACTAATATATTCAGAGAGTAGTTATGCATGGTTTTTTCCATCTATCGACCAGAAGTTTAATTGGCTGGAGATAATTGGGCAACTTACTTTAGCAACTGCAGCCTTGGTATAGGGCCAAGCAAAACCCAACTCAGTAGCCTTGCCAGTGAATACAAGGTCCGGATCTTTCATTGCCCTCGCGATCATTTCCGGATCATAATCAACACCACCAGCCGGCCTCCTTACCATGATAATCTGGTACCCCAAGGTGTGCAAATGAAGCCTTGACAACCGCCTAAGACCAATTCCAACTTTTGGCAATTGGCTACTGTCAGTCATAGCACTCCAAATCTCTCGCATTCCATCCAACATCACAGCGGCTCGTGGAGTAGACTCACTCGCCTGAGATGCAATACGACCTTCTATCAGGAGACTTCGAAGATTTGGCAATTCTTGCTCATTTAGGCCTGAAGATTAGAAAATAAAATCCCTCTACTAACTAATATCAGTAGTTGATGTATTATATAAGCAAATATTACCAATAGAGTCTACGTAGGGGAGAATCGTTCTTGTAAGATTTGAAACAAACGCGGTTTCAACAAATGAGGCCATTTCAAAATGGACGAGAGTAGCTCGAGGTAGTTTCACAGAGAGGAAGTGCTTCAGAGCTTCCAATCTCTCTCCTCGTATATCTAAAAACAATGTAGAGAAAGGCACTGAAAATGAAAATTCCAACTACACGCACAAATAATAATGTAGTGTTCATAGGGTGAGGTCATCATACCGGGAGAGATGACGGCGTTATCCATGGTTTGAAGACCACCAAGAACGAAGAGATCGGGGTAGGAAGTTGAGGCATCTTTGGCTTTGACATCTCCACGGTTGAGCCAAGAGGAAAGAAGATCAGGCCAGAGACTGCTCAGTCGAGGATTTTCTTCATCGCGGATTAGAATATAACTATAAAAATATACGGAAAAAAGTCAGAATATATGTCGACTTCATGTAATAAATCGCGCAAATTTGAGACTAACAGACAATGTCCACGGGCCCCAAATTGTTGGCTGATCAATCGATTTTAAAATTCGCAAAGTTAGAATACACTACTTCTAGCAAATTACACGATTAATTGACGAAAAAGCCTTAATTAAGCAGGTATGAAAAATGTCCATGGATTCTAGAACAAATTTTTGAGAAATTCTGCCTGTGATAGCTATGTCATGATTTTCACAAGTTTTTGAACTCAAATCAAGGAATAAGTAAACCAATAAATAAAATAAATTGTTTAACACACGTAAACTCTGCTACTGAAAATGTACTGCAAAGCGCAGTCAAGTTTTGTTTCGGTGTGTAAACAACTTCATTTGCGGTGACGCATATTTTGCCATGCATCACAAAGCACCAATACAAACAAGCTGAAAGTACGGATCAATGAACAATGAGAGATTACCCTGTCACTTGAGTAAACACGTCATTTCTTGAGGTAACTAACATAAAGCCACGTTAAATTGAGTGCAGAACTTTTCGTGAAACGACAACATTAGAATACAAGGCATAAAACAAGAGTCCTTTCAAAGGCACACACAAGTTGAAGATCCCGAAAAAGGCCATAACTCCAGTGGATAAAAATGAGCATCGCGAAAACTTGTAGCACGCTGTTGTTAAGTTATAAAGCAACAATTCAGGATGCATCTAAACGCCTCCCCCCCGCAAGATTATTTAGCTGGTCAGTAATAACGCAAAGTGCACACAAACACAAAACAGGTAGAGTTAAGGGGGCTCAACCAATAATAATAATAATAATAATATAAATTTGGTTTCATAAAAAAGTAGAAAGAAGAAGGAGATAAAAATGATAGTAAAGAATTGCAGAAATATTATTATTATATCAAATGGCAGACTTTTTGATTGTAATCATTAGCCCTTTAGTTGACTTCAGGAACATCAAAGTGTAGAAAATTCAAAAGGGGGGGGGACAGAAGAGTGCATCAAAGACGAAGGTAGATAAGGTGGAAAAAAGGTGGGATGAGTACTGTGAAAGTAATCGAATATGACATACAGTGGGGTCATGGTAGTTTGAAGTCAACTGCCAGGTAATAGACTTTTTGCTGTATGAGTATGCGTTGCCCAGGGTGCACCACGTGGAGGTAAGTCAATCACACACCCCATTGCAGAAATATAAAGGGAGTTAAAAGAGCATCTCTGATTTAGATTTAATTACAAATATAAATTTGCAAACACGGAGAGTAATATTAGTATTAGAGGAGTAGCATATAAGTAGGTTTAAGCTAAATTAAATTGCAATAATAAACTCATTGAAGCATAAACTTCAAGGCACTTGAAAACAAAAGCATTCCAAAAGCAATCGATTCAGGTGACAGATGCACTATTGTCACTCTTAACAATTCTCGTTCAGCCTAGAAACAGTAAAAATGGATGAAGAAATATAGAGAAGGAATAAGTAGATGAGATGTTCTAGTTATAGAAACAAAGCGGGAATATACAAAACAACAAACATAAAATTATGGTTTCAAAGACTTCAAGTAAAGTTTCATGAATCACCGCCATTTTAAGTGCACGGCAAGTGCCATAAAAATTACATTCGCATTCAGAGATATCAAATGAGACACCAAGGAGCTAACAGGCAACTATAGAAATTTTAAAATAAATAAGTAAAGCAAAGACAATGCAATTTAGAAAAGCAAATAAACGTATGTTTGAATGACTTAAAAACAGCCATATGTTGGCAAATTTATTTCTCGCGAATAAAAAATTACTCATCTTCATTTAGCATCCGCCTTTTAGTAATTTTGGGTGCTTCTAGCGATACTGGAGTCAGTGGTAATAGTGAAATAAAAAAGACATTACCCATACTTCATAAAATTAAATAAAATTTGAATTTAAATAGACCGAAGAAACAAGGAATGGAGAGAGAGGAATTTACCGATTCGCTCGAGGAGCAGTAAAGTTTCGCCAAGAGGAGCCCTTATCAAACTCCATAACCAAGTGAAAATCGGTCTGGGGAATTGAAGGCAAACCAAAAGACGAAGGAGCCGATAAAACTATAAAAAAGTAGATTAGAAAACAAAGAAAGGTAAGAGCATGAAAAGAATGAATAAAACCTTTTATGTTAGGAGGTAGAGCCTGTGACTCTTTAGCAGAAAGACGAGCAGCCAAGGCAACATCGGCTCCTTCTCTTGCCAATCTAGACGCCATAACCGGAGCATTTCCGCCTAAACTTAGATATCCACGTTTGCCATCTTTTCTCAGTTCATCTGAATTAGTAGCTTTAGCTATAGCTTGGAAAACCAGGGAATCGAAAAGTTCCTTATTATGAACATATCGCCTATAAATCAATTAAACTGCAAAATTGCACTTGCTCTGCTGCAGCTCCAGCAGCAAACATTTGCGTAAATTCATCCACGATGTCTTCGAGCGAATTTAATTCAATTTCCAAATTTCCCTTCCGATTGGAATGCTGTGAAGTTTTTGTGGAACTAACGCCAAGAGATTCAAGGAATGTTATTGCGTTGACTGTGATATCAGTACAACCACCAAAACCAACAAGAATAAGAGGACCAGGGCCAGGTTGAGGAAAAGCATGATAAGCTGTTTCTAACCGAGTCAGACTACTGAGAACGGACTCGACATTGACATCTGCAGGCTTTCGAAACCAATATGAAAAGGCTATTGCTAGGACTGCGAAAATTAATCCGAAAATATAATATTTTTTGTTATAGCCCGACATCGAGGCAATCTGAACTGATAAAATAACGACCTTGTGTGATATTTTAAAATTTGCGGAAATATCGTAATCTTTTCTCAATTTTGATTCGCTCATTCGAAAAGATTCCAATTTTTCAAGGATCGTCACTTTAGCTAAATTTCATAATTAGATTAAATCAATAGTACTTGTGCAACAAAAGAATTCTTCAAGGAAGAAAGATAAATTTGCTGTTTTTTCTTTCAAGTGTATTCTTAATGTTTTGACATATCATATTTTAACTCAATTTGATATTTAATACAAGGTCACTAAAGAAGATATTTCTACTTAATATGGTGTAGTTCAATAGTTTAAATATTGTGTAGTTTTGCTCCTTTAATACCACTTTTTCTATCGTTACTTAACAGATGGTAGATTTTCAGAAACAAATTAATTGCTCTATGCAATACGTCAAATTCAGATGCCACTTTATTCATTTTTCTGGTCTTTCCCATGTAATAGTGCAGTTATCATATGTAAACCTTTGAAAATTTTTTAGAGGACATTTCGTTGATAAGTCGACATTCGATTAATTTCGAAGGGGCTTTCTACGGTCTAAACTATCTTATTTATACTGTTTCATGTTATTGAACACTTAAGCCACCAACAAAGATAATTCAAATTTCTTCCTCTGTCGAGACCACGGCTGCACTTTCCAGAATTTCCTAAACTCGTTCACTAAGCATTGTTGGAGTTGCGCCCTTCACAATCAATCCTTTAAATTATTTGCGCAAAAATATATTGCTATTTCGTATTACTGGTAATCCCACTTAACCTGATGTGGACTATATGACTGATCTTTTTTACCTGTTTCAAAATGGCTCGATTTAGTTTGAACTGAAAATGTGTGTTTAATGCCCAATTTTCCTATTGCTAGTATGAAAGCAATTCCCACTTAAGATTACCAAATCAAGAAGGTTATCGCCGTTCAAAAGCAAGTTTGCATTTAAAGGACTAAAGTATATCGTGAGATTATGGAAGAGAAAGCTGCTACCATGAATGTATGTTGATTCAATTCCTTACTAAGAAATTTCATACAAAAGCGTGAAAAGATCCCACACTCAATTGGCAAGATGAAATATAAACAGGTATAAAATTTAACACTATTCGAATTTCGAATGCATATCACTGAGATAAACTTCATGCTGAATTTTAATAGAATACGGATTTTAAGCACTTTGATGTTCAAGCATATGTCGATCTCGTTTTGTCTAATATTATTCCTCGTGTTGTTTATCATCTAAGTGGATGTCTACTTGCACCCCTTTAGATCTCATAGTCAGATGACAGTTTTCAGGTGTTGGTTGACATCTGCCGATTTTAGTACTTACCAACTTCTTAAACGTGTGCATTTTTTGGCTGTACTTTTTAACTGATGGAGAAGGAAAAAACAGGTAAAAATTCGTACCAAATATATATATACATATATATAGGTTTCAATTTGTTTTCGTCCTCACCCTGAAAAATTCTCTCTTAAATTCAAGAAAATTTCTGCTTAAATTTCCTTTAGGATTCCCTCATAAATGGCATCTCGGGAAACGGGAGACATATAAGATGTGTAATTGTGATAATTTACTCTTGCCATAAAACTTGGTTCTTTTGGTTGCTTTTAAAATTAATACATTCGAGATTATGATTTCCCTTGGCCTTAATGCAATGATGAGTTTTCTACGTTAAAATTTCAAGCAGAATTCAATTTTATTTATTGAGTTAGAAACCCTAAAAAACAGTGCTGAACAGATAGTAGACATAAAGTAAGGAAAAATTACCTTATCAACTTATTGCAAACTTTTGTAGTTGGTTAGAGAGAAAAGATTAAGTCCCGCAAAATTATCAACTTAGGATAAGTTTTAACCGGTTCTAGATAGACTCTCCAGCAAGTGGAACACACGCTGTACTGACCAGGTAAGTAATTTAGCCAACAAATATAACAATTATCAGGAAATTAACTGCTCCATCACCTATATTTTTCTAAATATTAACCTCGTTCATGTTAGCAAATTCTGGTATAAAATAGGCGAGAATGGGAAATTATTTTTCTCAAGTTATACCTTTTTAATTAATATTAAACAAGAATTATGACGCTTTTCAATGATTTATTGATTTTTAAAGCGAAAGAAACAATGTAGAAACATTAAAAGGAACGACTGCGTACTACGATGCCTTCTTTAAATGCAAGAAATTGCAAAAAACCACGTGCCTTCCGTCTACACGGGTGTCTGAGTGTTCTTTGCCAAAACTAACTCCTGATAATGTTTCCCGCAATAAAGTTGTTGGTCAGCCTGTTTGTAACTGTTAAGGCTATAAAGCAGAAAGGCACCACGATTAGTCACTCTTACTTCTAAGTAATAAGTAGTAAATAGCACTTACTTTAGGACCAAGTCGCATGTGCCGCACCGGAAGCACTGTTTGTGCCAAATTTGACCACCAGCTTCAACTCTCTCTACGGCGTAGACTGTCTTTCCACAACGGACACATTTCTCAAGTTTGGGCTATAAATTTGATTAAGCCATACAGATTAAAGTACTGGCAATTACCCATCCAACAGAAGCTTTCTAAATCTAATTGAGTGAACATACGAGTCTACCGAGTTATAATTTTGTTAAAAAGTGAATATAGACGTCCGTTTGCTTTAGATTTATATCAACTCGCCCCCCTTCCGCCCTTCCCTTGACAGATGAATCAATATGGTGAAACTAATTATATATGCCAACATACTTAGGTGAAAAGCATTTCGCTCCCACATTTAAATGAGAGTGCAAAAAACCGGAATATCAGGCATAAGCAGTCTAGGAAGTCACTTTAGATTTGGTCTTAAACTGCTTCAATATTGATCGAAATATTGTTTCCTAACTTGCTTGTCAACTAAAAGGCATGAGTAAATTCTTCTACTTTTTAAAAGTTGAGCACATAGTCACGGTGCTAGATTTCATTTAATCAAAGGCAAATACAAAGCTGCACACACTTCCAAATCAGACGGTTTGCAATCGCAATGAGTCATTAGAATGAATGAATCATGCGATGCTTTATAAATGTCATGGTGACATCCCAAATCTTGCACCCTAACGATTTGAAATAACCTTAAACAGTCTGTCCTGACTATTAATTTCATATTTGCCCTCCTCAATAATTGGCCCATCAAGTAAAAAAAAATTATACTTGAATTGCCAAAGCGGCCATAAAATTGCGATTAATTAACTCTGAGAATTGGACTAATGACAAGCCAATAAGACCAGAATTTATTGCCTATTATTGAATATCAAATTTGAGTTTTGTAATTACTTATCAAGTAAATTGGAATGATGGACATCATTAGACAATTAGTGATATTCTGATAAGTTAAATTCCATGAAATAATCAATCAATTCAATATGAGGCAGGAGTTTCTCCTTATGATCATATAAATGACTAGTAATTATAAGAAAGAACAATTTGGAGAAAAGTAATTTAACTTACCGGTTGGAAAGGCATATTGTTAATACTGGGTGCAGAAATGGAGTTCTGACTCTGACACTCTCCACAGTTAACAAGACAACTTCACTGGGATTTCTCATTGGCTAGCACTCACTAACCAATGAAATGCTGGTCTTCAGCAGATTGCACACGTTCGCTAATTTCGTCCCCGTTTCTCTTCTGTGTAGATCTGCAACATTTAACGGAGTGACGGTCACATGACTTATTACATTTTCTTCTTCGTCTTCTTAAGTCCCCAATGTCATAAGGTTACCACCGGCATCTGATTTTTCCCCACCAATCAGGGCCATATGTACTTATACGAATTTCACTTGAAAATAATCCCACTTCAGGTCAATGAATGGAACATTCAAATAATTTTGTGAAATTGTCATTCAACTATAAGATAAAATGTATATAAATTTTACACCTGAATACTTGTATTTTGTAACAAGTGGTTGATTCCAGATTCAACCTAAGAGCAGTGAGTTGAATCGATTTGGTCAATACTAGCTGCACCCTTGTGATTTATACGAAAAGTTATAGGTATCGACTCTACTTAACTTGCGTTATTTAAAATGCACGTATTTCGGTCACAGGAAAGTAAATTAAGTGACACGAAAAACGCTGAAAAGGTAAAATTAATACTTTATTGATTATAACAAAGGCGTGTGCGATAGACTTACCTCCACGTGTTGCACCCTGGGCAACATATACTCATGCGGCAAAAAAGTCTATAAACTGGCAGTTGACTTTTGAGTTCAAACTGCCATCCCCTCACTGTATGTCATATTCGACCACTTCCATAGTACACACCTCGCCTTTCATCTACCTTTGTGTCTGTCCGTTTGCATCTTTAAAACCCTCTTCTGTCCCCCCCCCCTTCTCGACTTTTTTCGCTTTGTTTTTCCCCTTCCTCTGTGAAGCCTGAAGTCAACTAAAGCGCTAATGATAACTATCATAAAGCTTGCCATTTGATATAAATATAATTATAAAAAAATGATATATCACTATTGATACAATGTGATCTATGTGTGTTATTGCTACGAATTTCAGATCCATAGAGAAATTGAGGGGACCTGCGGCTTAAACATGTCACGGCTTCGACAACTTCTAACTGTTGAACCGGTGGTATGACATCGTGGAGGCACTTCAGTCTCAACACCTCTTTTGATTTAATTAACTAAACGTTTAAGAAACATTTCACAAAATTTTTTTTGAATGACACATTACTGAACTTGGTTTTATGCCAAGCGCATGACATTTAATCGGTTATTTAGAACTAATTGTAAGTTAGCGTAAATAAAAAATAAAAATCAGACGACAACAAAAAAGAATTTTCCAAACTTAATAGTTGTGCATTTCCTGTTTATTTTTCCATTTTGTAGAATAGTCGTTTTTTCTAAAAAAGATGATTCTAAAATATGGCATGATCGTCAGTCGTTTTGCCATTCGTAAACACGATCAAATTTGTTTTATTTAATAAATGAAAATTAACACCATTTAACACGATTTTCTTTTTATTTATGAAAATTGAAATGAAACGCGAAATGGCACTTTCTTCGAATGAATAGACACGTTAGCTCATTATCTTCTTGTGTAGAAATTACACTTGATATCTCACAGAAATATAACTAAATGTGCTTAACGCAGGCTCTACTACAATCAAAGTTATCAACTGGTTTATGGGGACTACTGAACCAGAACAAGGTCACAAAACTTTAAACTGTTGTTTGCAGCCAACAAAAGTAAAAAGTATTTCCAAATCATGTGTGCGATAGACTTACCTCCACGTGGTGCAACCAGGGCAACGTATACTCATACAGCAAAAAAGCCTATAAATCAGCAGTTGACTTCTGACTTCAAACTACCATGATTGCTTTCACAGTACTAATCTTCCCTTTTCTCTGCCTTTGTGTCTGTCTGTCTGTTAATCACTATTCTCTCCCTCCTCTCGACTTTTCGGCACTTTGATGTTCCTCCTCCTCTCTGTGAGGCCCGAAGTCAAGTAAATGGCTAATGAGCACTGTCAAAACACCTGTCATTTGAAATAAATAAATAAATAAGTCTCAAATAATAGAACATGGAGTTTTTTGTTGTAAGGATTCGAACTAGGGGGGAGGGAGAGATAACGCTGAAGGGTGAGTGGAACAGACGTGTGTCTGCGTTGACCATGATGCAATCGAATGGTAATAAGGAATGTAGATTCTGTGAGTTTATTAAATTTTTTAGGCGCGATTTTCATCATTTGGTTCATTTTAATCATTCTCTTATCATTTATTTATTTATATCAAATGGCAGGCATTTTGATGGTTATCATTAGCCCTTTAGTTGACTTCAGGCTTCACAGAGTTGAATGAACATCAAAGTGAAAAAAATCGAATGGGGGGGGGGTGGACGGAAGAGTGTTTCAAAGATGTAAGAGACAGACACAAGGGTAGAAAAAGGTGAGGTGAGTACCGTTAAAGTAGTCGAATATGACATACAGTGGGGTGATATTTTGCCGTATGAGTATGCGTTGCCCAGGGTGCACCACGTTTTTGCCGTATGAATATACGTTGCCCAGGGTGCACCACGTGTGCCTTATGAGTATACGTTGCCCAGGGTGCACCACGTGGAGCCGTATGAGTAAACGTTGCCCAGGGTGCACCACGTGGAGCCGTATGAGTATACGTTGCCCATGGTGCACCACGTGGAGGCAAGACTATCGCACACCCCACTCTCTTATCATGAATTATCCCAAACCTCTCACCTACAAAGTGGAGAATTCATGCATCTTTAATGTCATTTTTCAGTCAATTTTTAGTCTTCGGCCCCATCATAAGTTTTATTTGCCTATTCAACGATTTCAGGGCGATGTAGTACCAAAGATGCTATACCTTAGTTAACCAAGACTCAAAAATTTTGTTGATGGAGCCTCTGTTTATTCCAATGTTTTTTCCATTGGGGTTATCCCTAATGTCTAGAAACCAATCATCTCGAAAACACTTTGGCAAGCTCAAATTCTCCCCCTCCCCAACTCTGTATATATATATATTTCTTTGTCTTAAAATAATTCATTTTAATTTGCGTGAGAATATTGCTATTGTGACCAACGCTACCAAGACTGAACAAAGCAACCTTGCGCGAAGAGACCGCACAGCCAATCAGCGATAAATTTAATGCATTGAATGACTCAGCATGCTGCCTTGGCGACAAATTGTGCGCGCTGTTGTTTGATGCTCCACGGTGTGCTTCTGGTGCACCAGTTCCTAAATTTTGGTGACTCAACAAACCGGGGGCCTTCGCATCTGTTAGACTAGCGTTGTCTCCAATTTTACAATTTGAGAAAATCATTTTCATTGCAAACGCTCAGTCCAATCTGTTACCTTCATTACTGTAATCAATTAAATACCAGTGTTTTAATCTCAATTATTTAGACAAAAAAGCATTAGTTTTCAATAGCCACCTCATCACGATCAGCTGTTCCATCATTTTTTTCCAAGGAAGCTAATTAAATTTAAACATCGAACCAACCACATTACCATTCAACGCGTTTTTTTGTTTCCACATGCATATTTAATGATGTGATTCCAACTAACAGCTTTTTATAAATACCTTCCTTAGACGTGATCACTTAAAGATGCGTAGGAATTTAAACTTTATTGCAACCCAATTGCACTCCACATTGGATTCATTGTCAAAATTCGAAAGAAGCAATATTTTTACGTTCTAGAATATTTTGATGAAAGTGTATTGAGCGTGGAGTGCGCAATAGACTTACCTCCACGTGGTGCAACCCAGGCAACGTATACTCATACGACATAAAAAGTCTATCAACCGGCAGTCGACTTCTGACATCAAACTAACATGAACCCACAGTATACCATATTCGTCCACTTAAAAATTACTCACAATTCACCGTTTTCTCTACCTTTTTATCTGTGAATCACTCTTCTTTTCCCTCCTCTCGACTTTTTCTCATTTTGATGTTCCTCTCCTCTGTGGAGACCGAAGTCAGACAAAAAGCCTGCCATTTGCTATAAGTAAAATATCAAACGTATCGAAGGCTTCAAGGGAGATGAAATTCGACGGAATTAGGGACAAAGCTACGCAACCAGTGGTTAGTTAATTGTCGAAACGCTTAAGAACAGATTGTCAATATTAACTATCTGTATAAAAATGTCCAAATTCATGAACTTTGTCAGCTCTTAAACGTTGTACTACTGTAATAAATAAGTAGGAATTAAATATAAGCTTCGTTTGTCGAAGCATAAATAACACCTTCTTTTCCACCTATAGCGAAGTATTTTACCTTACAATCATATTTGACAAAAAGGGGTGAACGATAGACTTACCTCGACGTGGTGCACCATGGGCAACGTATACTCATACGGCAAAAAGTCTATTAATCGACAG